AGCAATATAAGCAATCATTCCATGACAGTTCAACTTTTTCGTTTAGCAGGTTTTCGTCGGACAATTTTTCGTCTGCAGATTTTCGTCCGCAGACTTTCGTCTATGCATTTGTTCGTCTGTGCATTTTTAAGTCCGCGCATTATTTTCATAAGGACATTTTCCGCCTCGTCCAGACGAAAAAATGCCGGACAGAAAAATACTCAGACGAAAAATGCACCAAATTAATTCGAACAGACGAAAAAATGCAAGACGAAAAAGTCAGACGAAAAAGTCAGACGAAAATCTGCCGACGAATAACCGGCTGACGAAAAAATTGTCAGATGGAATTTTGTTCAGAGCCTTCAATCTAATCTGAATGAACAGTAAGTAAGGTTTGCGCTCGCTGATACTCTAATTCTATTGGCTTAGTCGATCAGTTTTTCTGTGAGCGCTCGCGCAAACAAGACTTAGAACATATTTTACTTTTTATCCTAGGTATTATGTAACTGAACGTGCAGAAAATCGAAAGCATATACCTATCCAATCCAGCACTAACACTTTCAAGAACCGGCTTGACCAATTCATGGCGCAAACGGCTATACCCTAGATCCAATCAGTCCAGTATACCTACCTTATACCTGACGTGGGCACCGAATAGACACCCAGTCTACATCAGCCCATCCGATTAAACCTAAACCTAATTCAATTTTTCCATTTCTATGAAGCCTGTAGGTTTTATTTGTTTTTTTTATATTGCCTGAAAGAATACTTGAATGTCTGTCTTCAATAACTGTAAGGTGCTATCCTACATTCCTACTGATAAGGTAAGATTGAATTGAAAGGGACATGACAATACAAATTGCAAGGTACCTATTACCTACCTATATTTTTTACGAATTTGTCAGGTTAAAGAAGGAGAGATTGATATTATGATTCATTTTTAACTTGTGTTGAAGCTCCCCCTACCTATGTTGGTTAACGATAAAACCACCACAGTCCACAGGTTTGCGTAGGTTCTGCCCCTTTAAATGTTGCTGGGCATCCATTGGCAGAATATTTAGAAGTAAGTCTGCTCATCAGAATGTTAGTTTGTTTAAGTTCTTGTTGTGGGACCCTGAATACTTTGGATCCTGAGATGTATTCTTGCCGTGGGACCTTGAGGACTGTGGACCCTGAACTCTGAAGTGTGTACTTGTCATGGGACCTTGGGGACTGTGGATCCTGAAATTCACACTTGTCGTGGGACCCTAGGGACTGTGGATCCTGCAATGCATTCTTGTCGTGGGACCTTGGGGACTGTTGATCCTGCAATGCATTCTTGTCGTGGGACCTTGGGGACTGTGGACCCTGCAAAGTATACTTGCTATGGGACCTTGGAAACCTTGGATTCTAGAAATTGAATTTGCCGTGGGACCTTGGAAACCTTGGATTCTAGAAATTGAATTTGCCGTGGGACCTTGGAAACCTTGATTCTAGAAATTGAATTTGCCGTGGGACCTTGGAAACCTTGGATTCTAGAAATTGAATTTGCCGTTGGACCTTGGAAACCTTGGATTCTAAAAATTGAATTTGCCGTGGGACCTTGAGGATCCTGGATCTTGATTTTTGGTCCCGGCACAAGTCTGGTTGGATGCACAAGGCCAGGCCTGGCTCTTAGTAAACGGTGCATCCGGTCAAAAGTGATGTGCCGTATTCACCGTATCATTTTGCCGTATCTTCCTGTCGTGGGATCGGGACTCGGGAGTCATCACCGTACGGCGGTCGGCGACTTCCGCGTGACTCAGAACTACCCCACCTTTACTCACTGACTCAGTGAATTTCTCCATAGTCGTAATCAGTCTCCGGGTATGTACCACAGTCGATTTTTCGCCCGTGGTTGCGGTAGTTGGTATTCAACAGCACGTGGCTTCAGTACCGAGTAGCGTGGCAGTTTTCACTCTTCGGCGTCGGCTATTATTTTTGCCGCTAGGCCATGACAGAGCTGTGACTCTTACTGCTGGGTTTTCCCTCAGTGTCCCTCATTGCGTTTTCGAGTCTGGGTGGTGACTCAATCCAAGAGTCAATCTACCTTAAGACCGCTGCAGGTATGGTTTGACTCAACGTGAGTCAAGTGATGAGTGAGTAAACGCGGCCTTCCGAACACACCGGTATGCCCCGGCCCGCGGCAGATACCGACGTGTTTCAGGGACGGGCTGAGTCAGAGATACCTATCTTGTCACTTCAGTGCCGAGCCGTGGCGTCACCCCGTCTCTCCCCCACCCCGCCCGCTCAGGCCCCCTGACCCCACCCACGACGTGAAGTCTGGCCCCGCCTGCTGATCTGTTTGGCTTGATTGTCGACCGGTAAGCCATCTGTGGAGTACACAAGTGCGTCACGAGTATGATAGTGGACACACTCGAGCATTTGTTCCGCTGTTGGCTAACGTGATCAGGGTTCACTGCGAAACTCCGATATGTCGTTATACTTTACCGATTTTCCTTCCATACTATCTCTGAAGTATGGTTAAAAATAAACTGCTGAGCAAATTGGAACAAAAGTGCCTGCATATTCCCATTCCGAGCGATCGTTCAAGCAGCCTGTCGTAAGGGGCTCGCTGCTCGAGCCTCAAGTTGCACCCTTTCTCTTGCAAGAGGGCGGCATCATGATGCCGCCCTCAGCCCGCAGCCCCGCTCCCCTCCCTCCCTCTCTCCCTCTCTCCCCCAGTTGCTGACTCGGTTGAGGCGCAGCTCCCCAGCTGAGGAGGAGCTGTGGCCGCCGCTCGCGGTGTAAAAAGCGGCCTCGCCAGTCGTTGCTCCCTAGCTCGTGGTGCCGGCTGAAGGGCGGCTGTGTGGTGCCGGTGGCTGGTGCAGCGGGTCTCTAGTGCTGCTGCCGCCAGACCGGTCGACACGGGAAGGTCATCCACCCACCACAGGGCGGTGGGAATGTGGGATGCTCTGTGCTCACGGATAGGGGTAGCGGGGACGCCTGGCGGTAATCAAATACTGCCTATATTTCGTACCTCTCGAGATGCACGTCAGTCCATGCCCGACTCTACTCTGACGTAGCGGTCGTGTTTTGTTGCTAGAGTTCATTGGGTCTAAAAAAGGCAAAACCCAGCAGCTCAATTTGGTGCTTGCGATTTTCGATAAGCCTACATTCTGGATTTTTGGGATATTTTCTCTGGGTTTCCTGGGGGCGCCTCCGGGTCGCTTACCCCACTAGGCAAGGACCGTAAGGGGCCCCAGACTACCAGTTTAGGTGTCGGCTCTGTCCCACGGCGGGGGCCCGATGGACAGACCCATCGACCGTCGCCAGCGTCCAGTGGCCGCCGGAGCGAGGCGCGGGCGATGTCTGATTGCGGCGGCGGATTACGACCCAGCGGGCCTCCGCCTATCTGATGCCGTACTGCCGCCGTGCCGGGCCGGCCGTGCAGCGGACACGACCGATCGCCGTGGCCTTTGTTTGACCGCACAAAAACGCCGTGATCTCCCGGCCGGCGCCTCGACAGCGCGGCCATTGGCCCCTGGGCTTTGTGAGAGCTGATTTGGAGTCGGGCACTCCGCTCAGAGCAGACCGGTCGTGGTATTTTCACTGTTTTGTGATTAGACGTGCGCTCATGTCAGTGGCTTAGAGAAGATTGTAATCGACGCATGCTGGTAGGGGTGATGTGATTTTGAGTCGTTCATTGAGTGTCAGACATTGGGTTGGGCGTGTGCCTATTCAGCGCTGGCTGTGAGCGGTCAGATTTGCTACTACGTTCATATTCTGGAAGTTTGATACACGGTTTACTTCAAATATTCGTCCCCGCGTTACTATCCGGGGTCAAACGCAGGTCGAGGCGGGCACGAAATCCCCACGGAGGTTCCCCGTCGAAGCCGACCCTCCCCGGCAGCAGGCAGCCCAGGTGGGCTCTGTTGCCGGGGGCGGGGCTCCGCGAGCACGTGTCATTACACGGACGACCTTGACCGCGGCCGTTCCCGTCAGCTGTGTTCCGCCCCTCCCCTCCCCGCACAACCTGGTCAATCAAAACAAACCCCCACTCTCACTGCCGTCTCGTACAACTGGCCGGTGCGCTTAGAGGCGATTCGCCACCGACTTGCGGGCGAATAACGGCCTTACGGCCGCCGAGACGTACTATATTGAGTCGGGCGCAGACGGCCGCCGAGTCGGGGCTGGCATCCGGGGGTTCGCTTCCGCCGGCATGTTTACACTGGGGTCCAAGTAGGACGGGAGATCGAACGAATATTCTCCCCTGCTGATGCTCGTGTTTCATCTTCCACCAGCACCTCTGAAACGTGCGACCCCCATGGACCCGCAGCTGAATAATGTGTGGGCTTTCTTGTTGCCCGTCGACAGCCGAGTCGTTGGTGGATGAGCTACAGTCACGACCCCGTGTTACGGCCCGCCCCACCCGGGTCTCGAAAATTTACACCCTTTTAAAACAGGACGATGTAGACAAACACTGCAGCGGTGTGCAGATCTCCCAGCCAAATGGAGGGGTGGTAAAGTCATTTGGGCCGGCTTTTTGCCTAAATTAGAAGGGAACATCCAAGGTTCGGGGCCGAGCGACCGCCCGACGGCCTTGGATCGGTTCAACGGCATCGTTACTAACCGAGCAGACATGCTGGGAAACCTTACTGGTGTTCAGGTTTTTCTATAGTTACAAATTACAATTGTAGAACAGTTGAGTGAATACAGGTGAAGTGAAGTGCCGCTTGGGCTGCATCAGTAATGTAGAAATGTCTCGTCTAAAAATTCCTAGACGGTACGATGGCTCGTCTAAAAATTCCTAGACGATACGATGGTTCGTCTAAAAATTCATAAACGATGTCTAAACAATTCCTATCTTTGACCGACTGCCTACTGGTGGACATTACCTCACATGGACCCTGTCTCGGTAATGCCATTGCCCATTATCCGTTATATACCATTATACATTATGTATAACTAATTCAAACAAACACCTGCCACCGTGTGACCCTGCGTCGTCCCCGCCACCGTTGCACCACCCTTTCTGACCTTTGTTTCGTTCTCTGTTGCAGGTTTTCACCTCAGCGGTCTGGTGCACTCGTCCAAGCCCAGTATGCCACTGCCTCCCGGCTACAGTATAGAGCCCGAGAAGAAATACAGGGTCTCCGTCAGCTTCGACAGGTCAGCGGCAGCCGACTCAATAGCTGTTCTCTCTTTCTGTTTTTAACCTCAAAGCATCCGGAGCTGATGTTTTTCTTTTGTCTTGTGTCCGGTGCCCATCACTTTTTTGTTGCTAGCAGGGAGAAGACGTCTCCTCAATGGTAACTAGCGGAATGCTGTAAAAAGCTTCACTCATCAATGGTGCCGGAATTCCTGTTGCTCTGGCGGCTTCTGAATGTTTATAGTCTCTGCCGTATGTTTATACATGCGGAATCCATGTGCCGTGACAGGGATGACTCGGAAATTCCACAGGCGTTGGTACACAGAGGTCTTAGCACAACCATTGCCACCTCCACAATCACTACCGTTGTCCGTGTGGTTGGTCCCCTGATCATCTGGCCCCCGAGTTATATCTATGGTTCCTTGGTGTTATCCATGGTCCCCTGGAAAGGAATTTCTAGAAATCCGTTTCTCGCGTTTGCCTTGACGGTGTGGGGGTGGTATGCGACTCGGAACAAGCAGTTACTGTGCGAACGGTTACCGTGTCCCTTGTCCGTTTATGCCATGTGGTGGAATGTGAGGGAGGAGTGGAAATGGGGAAAGACACCCCTGAACCCCATCTCTCGCTAGCTATCGTCGGCATAAGGAACTTGTTAAAACGTGACAGTTGATCCCTTTGGGCGATGTTGGATCGAACGTTAGTCGTAAAATTGCTATTAAGATACATAGTTACCATTGAATTAACGCTCACTCGCGTCAGAATTGAAATTAAGGATTGTTGCTAAAAACATTCCATCGTCGACACTCTTCGTACGCAAACGAAACGGCTCTTTGCAGGCTGAATAGCTTTGCAAGGACTTGGAGTATCAGGTCGATAATAGACTTTGCTAGTCTCCTAATGCTACGTCCTAATGTTTCTTATTCTAGTCTTCTCCCTAACTTCCTAATGTTGAACTTAACAATCGTTTCGCAGACGTGCTCCTCACCGACCGGTCCCTAATGCCCTCGTGTAAAATGAAAGGCGGCCGTTTCGAACTCGTGTGTCAAAGTTAGCACAACTCGTGTCGGTCGAGTGCGCCAAGTTGTCCAGTTGGGTGTGAGCCCACTGACACCCGTTTCGGGACTTGCCTGAAGCGGAAGCCGCTGTACACGACGGGGCGGTCGCGGCCAACTCTTCAGGCGAATGCACTAACTGGACGACTAACTGGGCGTTCAACTGGGCTTTTGGTACACCACGCACTGTGCTGATGGGCTGCCCGGCACCCATGCACTTGCGACACCCTGGGCTACCTATGTCTACCTATGCGCTCTTGTTGCTGTGTCCATGAGGTCATGAATGTGCGTTCGTTAGTCGCCCGAGGGCCGACATGGGGCGTAGCATCACTGCCGCCTTGATGACTGACCCCTACATCCACCTTGACCCGTGATTTCCCCGACCTCTCCCGACCCTCGATTGACCCCTGCCTCCAGTTCAACCGTAAATGACCAGGCTTCCCCATCCTGACTTGCGGTTGAGCCCTGACCTCCACCCTGACCCCTGGTTGACCCCCCCCCCCTGTCACCCACAGGTGTAAGATCACCTCGGTCACGTGCACCTGTGAGACCCGGGACATCTTCTGGTGCAAACATGTGGTAGCACTGTCCCTGTACCGGATCAGAAACGCCGAGACTGTCAAACTGCGCGTGCCCATATCAGGTAAGAGCGATGTTCCTCACATTTGTTTTATATTTTTGATCCAACAGAAAAACACTTCTCGCTCATGAAGTCGTAGGGTGATACTATGATGTAAGCAAATATAGTTAAGCTATTAATTACCTTGACCAGTACTGTCCTGTCCTGCTCTGACCCAACGTGACGCACCTACTGTTGTTGTTCATGAGATAGAGGATGATGCAACGTGGTAACATTCCGCTGCGTTGTCTGTTTATCACCTTATCCAGGTCAGTGATGACGCACCCCCGATATAGGGTTTCGTATGGGTCACGGTACTCAGTCGCTGCTGTTCGCTCTTGACAGAAGTGATTGTCGCGACTCGCGGGATATAATTGATCGGTTTCTAAAGTATGCCTTAAGTGTCATGACTTTCCGTTTGCCGTCGTTGTTAAAGGCAGAAGTGTTTCAGTCCCAAGGCTTGCCAATACGCCAGGCGCATACGGTTTCGCTTTACCTTTGTCTTGTCACACCTGAAAGACGAAGAGTGCGAAGCTGCCTCAATTTGGCCGCTATCGTATTACCTCACCGGATGTCGCTTCGTTAGCGCTGTCTGGCCTCACGTGCGTAGGTCGGTGTTTTGGGTCCTCTAGCCCTCCACACAGCCAGTGTAGCCCACCGTCCCTCCCACGGCCGGCTCCGGTCCATAACAGAGCCATTGTGCCCGCCTGTTTACCGACCGGGGCCCACTTTCACTTCAGTGTGTGGCGTGCACGTACTGCTGAGAACAGAAAGGGCCCGCCGCTCAGACGGCCGCTGTTGTTTCCGCGAGACTGAATATTCGGCGCCGTAGGTGGGGTTTAATCGCCGTATTTTGTCGGAAACAAGCCAACTGTGTATGTGGTGCTTTGGTCGTCCATCAAAGGAATGCGAAGTTCAATGTTTTTGTACTTGACACCGTCGCGCATCGATACATGCATTCACGTCGTACGTGTGCTGTGAATCATTTGTACCATTCACGCTCTAAGCCATGTCGCACGGCCCATATAGTTTGGTTGTTGGTGAATGCCCGCAGTCGACCCAATCACCCTGACCTGCCGATGCTGGTGTGGAGGGCATCTTTGGTAGAGCGTTCACTAGCTGTCGGTGCGCGTCGTAGGTTAAAACGTGTGCGGGTTCTGTATTAGATAAAAGGGGACCCACTCGTCTGAGCCTATTCGTGGTATCGGTCTATACTCTATACGATTGCTGATTTCACCGTTTGTTACGTGAGCGAGTTGAGACTTTGGTATTATATTCCAACCATTTTCCTTTCTTATCGTCCCATTCCCACCATCCCTCCCATCCTATTCCTCTCCCTTCCCATCCCGACGTCCCGGCGGCTTTACTCCTCGCCCGAGTCTGGGATCGATCCTGCAACGACACTGTCACCGGCACGACCGTTGCACTCCCCACGGCACGGCCCGAATGAATCCGCGCCGCCGCCGCCGTGCCGCCCGGCGCTCTCTGCCGTCCGCCATCGCCCTCTGTCCTCTGTGGGCCGGAAAATGTGATCACGGCCAGTCGGGCGGCGCAGACCGTCACCGAACCCCGATCGGCTTTATTAGTTTATCTGCGCTGCCTGCCGGTCTGGCCTGCCGCCGGTCGATGCCGCGGCAGGGAGGGACGAGCTGGGGTTTGTGTTTCGGTGAGTCACTTGCATAAGGCGGTGGCCTGCGCTGCAGCTGGAGCTGTGAGGAGGCCGGCGTTAAGCGAGATGTCCTGTTTTAGCAAATAGTTACCTCGTGATTACGCTGGCATCTTAGCTGAGTTCACCATTCCTTTTAGTGATCTGTAATTCTTTTTCTCTTGTCCCATGCTCTTGTGTTATCGTGTTTGATCTTTTCTTATTTAATCCATGTTTTACGAGCATTCGCTTCCCTAGCGTATTAGCTTCCTCTCAGGGCCTTGGCAACCTCTCTCCTCTGCGGACGTCATTCCTGCGACCTATCTCGCTGTGTGGCGTGCCGATCGCATTCCTAAGCGCGGTTCAGACCGATCTCAAACACATTGAGAACACATAGGCCGCCTGTCGTATGGACATCGGTCAACATGTTTGGAGCACAGAGCATACATTACGGTGCCGACGCTCGGATATTTGCCGTGTACCGGTGTTTGCACTGTCTGCTGCACCCAGATTGCCGCTCCGCTCGTAACTTGTTTTCCTTGCATTACGACATGATTGCTCGCCCTTATTGCTGCCACCGACTAGGGAAAACCTTTGATGGTAGGTAGTTTCGAGGTGGTGCTTTAGCGGATACCTGTTGATTTCTTTGGTCACGGCCTTCGTTGAGGTGGCGGTTAACGGTCATGAAACTGCTTTGAAACGGACGCGTTGTGGGTATCTTCTAACTGTATCAATCCGTATCTATCTGCATCCGTATCCGTATTTTTTTTTTTTTTTTTTTTTTTGTAGGGCCAGGCTCTTGCGGTCTCACAAGACCTTATCCGTATTTCATATCCATATACCTATCCTTACCCCATGTCGCCGTATCTTAACCATCCGTTTCGTAGCAGTAGTTCTGTACGTTCAACGTGGCCTGACTTGGCCTACCTAACTGCCCATTTCTTAGCAGTCGTATGACCTAGGCCTAGCCCTGTATATTTAACATGGCCTGACCTGACCTGACCTGCTCTGTCCCCGCAGAGACGCTGCTGCAGATGGACCGACAGCAGCTTCAGAAGTTCGCGCAGTACCTGATTGCCGAACACCACACCGAGGTGCTGCCCACCGCGCAGCGGCTGGCAGACGAGATTCTGCGACAGCGCTCCGAAATCAACCGGATACAAGGTCAGTGGACGGGGTCAGCTGGATACAGGATCAGTGTCTGGAAGTTAAATGAATACAGTTAAATGAATCGATCCGGATATCGAAATGATATAGGGTCAGTGGGCAGTTGGGGTCACCAGTCAATGCGTGGCGAGCGCATGATGCGCTTCGGGTGCGTCTTGTACGGCTTCGAGCGGGCACGATTGTCGATTCACGACATTGTTCGTTTGCTAGCTACCTCTGGATGCAACGAGAGCACTGAAGATCCATGAGATCCACGAAAAGCACAGAAGACGAACTTCAGAAGTCTTTCGCTAGCGTAAAAAAAAAAAAATGCTACCAGCACCCGAACGTCTTGGTTGCTAATGTTGAGAAAATGATGATTAGTAGGACGTTTGGAACTGCAATTTACGAACTCTTACCTTAAGAGTTTCGGTCAAACTTCTCCACTTTTTCATCCGGTGTTTTAGAAGTTAGTGAAAAAGGAATCCTACACGGTGCATCTACCGATTCGCTGTCTTCATTAGAGCATGCCAACTCGTACGTTGACGCAGTTATTGCCTAACAGGCATTCCATGATGTGTCTAGAATGTGATGATCTAATCCAACACGTGTTTTTAATCGTTATTTTCACTGATGTGGTATCATTAGGCTAGGGTTTCCCGGAGATGCCTGCCGTAAGGTTTTACGAAGAGGTGCGATAGGTAGATTGATTGTTATGTGCGGGGCCATCCCTGTCATATACAGTGATATTTTAATTTCACGTAGTCCGCTACGCCATAAACGGAGTGTCTCGCGCCTTGTTAGTTTGGTAAACATTGCACTGCCGTTATAGCATTACTTTATGTTGGTAGCTTGTCTTGTATCATCCGTCATCTTATTTGTCGGTTTTTGCACAGATTTGCTCTACGATTACGTTTACCGTTTGGATATTTCTCCATTATGTTGTATTTGTTTTACGACCGCTAACATAATTAAATATCAAGGTTAGATGTTCAATGTCCCGTTTCGTTTATAGCTTGTTTATATAGTAATGGTCCATCAAAGTACGATATCTTATGACTCATTGGCTTGGATTATACCCCTGTCACATACCGCTGGTTTGTAAAATTGGCTCTTGCTCACACACCTATGTGCGACTGCGGGCTACTATTTTACGTCCACTAACCTTTCCACGACCTTCCACTTCTCCCTGTCCGTTTTGCCCTTGTCCCTTGCACTTATTCATCCGCACCGCACCTGTGCCTTGCTGGGCAAATGTGAGAGTATGACATTCTACCCACACGGGCCGGGCGGTCAGACCGCGGCCGAGCGTTGCCGTGACGCCGGGTCACGCCACTCACGGCGTTACGTCACGACATGTCACTCACGGTTTCTCACGTCACGTCACGCCGTGCCGGCCGCGGTGACGTGACGCCCGCTCTCGAGGCCGTCACAATTCTGTCACGGGTCGAGGTGAGCTCAGTTCGGCTCGCCCCAGCCCGGTCCGGCCTGACCCGACCCATACTGCCGCGGTTGCTGGATCCGACGTGCCCAGAGACCGTTATTATTGCTTCGTGGCACGCCCAACCGTCGGCGCCTGGGCTTGTGTTGAGTCACATCCCTGACTGCCGCACCGACCCGCCTCGGGGCGGTATCTATGTGCGTTACTCACCCAGCATTACTGCACTTCGGATGTGAGAGATAGGTGGGGATTCCGGGGTCGTAAAAGTGGTGCTGCCTCCCCAACAGACGCCCTGTTTCATGACGCACACTGCCTGCGGCTATGCCGCTGGGCTGACAGACAGACAGCCATCACTCCCATTCCACTAACCACTCTTGGTATCAACCGCGAGCTGGTTGGGAACTCCGCACACCGCAGCGCCATTCCATATCCCGCCCTGTATCATTGTCTCTAACTCACCGCCATGCTACCGTGCCGGCTCGCTGCGTGCCGTAAGGGCGACATTCCGGCTGTCTTGTTTGGGCCCAGACACTCATCAACCACCGGTCGCGGACGGCACGGCACGGCACGGCACGCAGGCGAGGACACCTGTGGTCGCCCACTGTCAGAGAGATATGCCGTGCCGAGACGACAGCTTTTTTTCATCGGTGGCAGAGATGGCTAGATATTTCCCATGCATTGTGGAGCTGAAAGTCGCATCAGCCGAGCGATTTGCGCTGTTTGCTGGGTGTGGAGGGTTGGGGAAGAGAAAGGGTGACGGTCCCACCCGACATACCACAGCCGAGTGATGTGTGCGCCGCTCGGGGGCAGGTGATTTCTGCGCCGGCCCTAATCCCCTTCACTATGAACGGGGCACGTTCAACCGCAGGCTGTCCCCTCTCTCCCGAGATCGGGCGACGCCTGCCGTCCGCTCGGCCCTGAACGGAGTTTGTTCAGACTCCGCCGGACTCTTTCAGCGATCTCGGAGCCTCCGGTGTCGATCTATTGTCACCCTACCGACCCTGTCCGGCCGGCCGATTTGAGTCAGATCGACGGCAGAAAGGCAGCAGACAGCGGCGGTCGGGCGGCGGTGGCAGCGGCGGGCGGCGCGCGCTGGAGGGCACCCCTGGGATTAGTGCGCGCTGAAGGCAGGCAGCTGGGCCGTCTTGAAAGGGTGCCAGCTGTTTGCGGGCCGGCGAGGTGCGGCAGCAGGCCGGACGAGGGACGGCGGCCGTGGTGGAGGAATGCAGCGGCCGCCGGCCCTGCCCGCAGCTGCCACTGCTGGTTGGTACGGCACGTCCTACGGCGCTGTGGGCGGTTTGGTACACCGCCGCTGCCGCCGGGCTGCATTGCGATGCTGCCAGAGATTCCAGGCCCGATCGGGTCTGGAAGACACACCCGAGGGCCCGCCGAGCAGCTAACTATTAGATGAGGTCATGGTAGTTTGCGGGACAAACTTGCTGGAAGATTATTTGTATCAGGGGCTTCAGGGAACAGTGATAGTCTGCATTCTTGTGTTATAAGTCTGTCACCCGTAGGCCGTGCTCATAAAAAGATGACACAGCATAAGCGTTTTTGCCAGTTTTTGCTCCTTCCGTGCTGCTACTTACACTGGCATATGCGTTACTTTGCTGTCCCTCTACCCTACAGCGTTGTTCTTGGCGGACAGTGTATGTCAGTCAGACGCTGTTTTGTGCAGTGGGTTCGGTCCGAACTAGGTGTTGCGGCAACTGCCGAGCTCTTGTTGTTTCATCCACCTCATACAACCGCTCTCTACCCTCGTCCTATTTCGTTTCGCTCGGTGCTTCTCAGCGCAATAACGCCGTAAGCGGCTTGCGGCTCACCGAACGGTATTTCTGAGCTGTTGCACGCACTGCTGTGGCTGTTGATCCCTCCAAGGAGTGGCTGTTTGAAGAGAGCTGATAGTGAGAGCTGAGTATAACCGAAGGTTTGTTGTCAATAGTTAAAACACTATTCTTTAGAATTGTGTTTTTCTATTGAAAAACAAATCTGAGTTCCCTGACATATATGATAGTGAGAGCTGAGTATATATTAGAGTTCAGTGGAGCTGCCTCAGCCGCGCCCGGAACTGTCGGGATGGCCGGTGACGTCATGGACCGAGTGACGCACTTATCGACCGGTCCCGGCGTCTGGGATGACGTCATTTAGTGCCGAGGGAACCGGGGAAGGTTGGGGCGCGGTGGTTTATGCAGACTCGTGGCGCATGATTGCAACTAGGCGAATGACTGCGGTCGTGTGTGCCGCATGGAAATTCAAATGACAAGCATATAGCGCCCATGCATTATGCATGGGCGCTATATTATATTTATTTTGTACGTAACAGACAGAAATGTCACTCTTAACAAACATGAAGACAAAGCCTGACGTAACGGGATGGCCCGTCAGTGGACTTCAGTATTTCTCTGGCCCTGACCTGACCGGACCTGACCCGTGTTACAGGCGCGCCCGACCCGACGGCCGGCGCAAGTGCTGACGCCGAGAACAGCTGGCATCTGGACGAGGACCAAGTCCGCGAACAGGTCAAATCCTATCTCTCCCAGGGAGGCTACTGCAGCTCCAACAAGCAGCTCAACTCTATGTTCGCGAAGGTAAACCACGTTGTCTCCCACTCGCATATTTCCCACACGCTCTGACCCGTTGTTGCTCCTGCCTACGGAACATGCTCCGTTCAGTGATTCATTTACAAGTATGGGAAAAAGACAAATTCTCACTGGACTCCCTTCAGCGTATGGGAGTCGTGTATTGGGCGACTTTTCTGCGTTTAGACTAGCGGTTCCTTTTGTACACGAGTTCCGTTCAGTGTTGCGGTGTTGAACGGATCATGTCTTAGCTGCTGGTTCGGTCTTTATTTCTCCCGCTGTGCTCTGTTGTCGTGGCAGTTTTCCTCACGTGGTCAGCGGCGGTGACGAACGGAGATTGTCGGGGCTGTTTTTAGGGCCTTGATCGGGGCATGCCGGTGACGTTGGCTGTCTGTAATTATGTGTTTGGTTAATGCTTGGTGATGGTTTGCTGACGTGTGGTGACGTTCACTGATGTGTGACGACGACTCGATGTCGGTGAGGTGACGTGTTTGATGACGGCTTGATGACTTGTTATGACGGTCTTTTGATATTGACGTGGGATGATGTGTGATGACGGTTTGATGACGTTGGAATGATGTGTGATCAGATGGCGTTATCCTGACGGTCCGATGACGGTCCGATGACGTGTGATGACGTCCTGACGTTCTCTGACGTGCTGCTGACGTGTGCCGCCCTCCGACAGGTACGGGAGATGCTGCGGGCGCGCGACTCGAACGGCTCCCGAATGCTGATGCTGATCACCGAACAGTTCCTCGCCGACCCGCACCTGATCCTGTGGAAGTCGCAGGGCAACCCGATGCAGGACCGCTGTCGACAACTCTGGGACCAGCTCGGTACGTACGAGCCCGATCAATAACCCCCAGATCTCCGTCAAAGTTCACTTGTTTGCGAATCCTTTTAAAGGATATGTGCGGTGGACTTTGTGCTGTAGCGCTGCAGAGATTTCTCGTTTTGCTGTTTTTCTCCCACGTATTGGGCTGTTTGGTCGGAATGCCTTACGTGGCGTGCGAGCAATGTTTTCTGTTTTGTGCGCGTTCCAGTGTCGGCCGGTGCACGGTCGCAGGCACCCTCTGGCGCCGCCGCGCGCCCGGCTCCCACGACTGGGCTGCAGGGTGGTTTACCTCGCCGCTAACCCGTCGGCGGTTGCGTGTGCGCGCATTTTACCTCCGGTATGATAACGTCCAATCCGCCGTCGACGTACATGGTTGTCTGACAGCGGTCGCCGGCGTAAAACTGGACTTAACGACGGACGGCTATTGTTTCGGCCGCTGTCTCGGGCGCTGTGGGTATGCTGTGGAGGGATCAGGCAGATTGACGGCTAGGATTCGGACAGACCTTTGGTGTTCAATCTGTCAGCTACGAGCATACCTCTATTACTGTCGGATTCCGCTCCTGCTTTCCATACTTCCCGCTGCCGCGAGTGCTGCTACTGACATGTATCGCCTCCCCGCCGCCCACAGGAGCACTCTGGGTATGTGTCACCCTCAGTCCAACCAGTTCCAAGACGGAGAAGGCTCGGTGGCGGGAGCTACTCAGTCGGTGGGCTCAGGTGGAGTTCTGTCCGCTGGAGGACCCCGACTTCAGGGCGCCACAGCGGTCGGCTGCGCCTGCCGCCGACCGCTCAGCCCACGGGGCCGGCTCCGCGTCCTCGGCTGATGCTGTGCGGGTGAGTCTGCGGGATTGTGACTTATATCAACGTGGGCGTGCTGCGACGAGAACCTGTCCTGACACGGGCTGATCTTTTAGCAGTTGGAATGTGGGTCTGGCTTAGATTTTTTTCTTTTGATTATCGCTCCATATTAGCGTTCTGTAACCTTATTAAATCTTAAGGACGAAAAACGTGCGTGCAGGGAAGCGCATCTTTAAATAAACCTAAGCGCCCTGCAGTTGTCATATTCCTGGACTAAATGCATACATGTGGGTTGAGACCCTCCATATCTGGGCGACTAATGCCAGCTGGTCCCCGGGAACCCCGAACCGCAGCCGATCAACTCTGCTTCTCTGCACAATCCAGAGTCCGACTGGGCTCAGTCGGGTCGCTGTGCTCGTCTCTGAACCCCTGCCGATGAACCCTGGCTGGGTCGTCGAGAGCAGGATTTTTATAGTCGCTTAGAGTATCGTTCTGTCCCTCAGTTGACCAAGTTTCTCTCCCACCCTCTGGGTGGTTGGTCCTCCCATCCCGACCCGCGGAACTGCGTTCCGTACTAAGACTCGTGCCGTCTAAGCCCGCCCTGCTCGTTTAGTCTGCTTTCGGCACGGTTTAAGCCGCTTGCAGGCCGGGCGGGCTCGCTGGTGGCCAGGCGCCCTGTAAGCCGACGGCCGCCGCGCGGTCGTCTTATCGTTCCTTTCCTCCCCAGTTGGGCTGTTGCTACGGGCCCCCGGCCGGCGGCTGGCGCCTGGCCCGCCGCAGGTCTTACCGTGTCGATGTGGTTCGCTGCTGATACAGGGTGGGGCTGGCAATGTTGCAATGGAACAAACAGGTGTTTGTAGTTTGCACGGATGCTGTGGCAGATTATTTGCCTGGCAACTGCAAGGGATGATTTGCCTTCCAATCATGTTCGTTGTTCGTGCGACATCTGATGTAGGCCATTGGAAATGGCTTCAACGTTTCACTCATATCCCACAGTTGAGAATTACCTGGTCAGTACGTACATTAGCCTCGACCAGTTAATAATAGATTTTATTTCATTTTATTTTAAAATAAAATAAATAATTTAGAAATAAAACCTCGAGCTGAGGAGAAAGCAACTTGCATTAGGATCTGGTTGCTTCGGCGACAACGGATGATAATGAAATAATAACTTCACCTTAGCCACCGCATACTCTCCCTTCCTTACGTCTCCCCAGTGTCAATATTGCCCCGCTAAACCCCCTCCTCCCCCCCTACAGTGGCAGCCGGGCTCTCGCGGGGACCGGACCAGTTCCAGTGACGACAGCTCAGACGAAGACGTGGCCATGTCGGACGGGCCGCCGCCGCCGCCGGCCGCTACCTTCCAGGTGTCGGCCCAGACCTGTCCGCAGACACCGCGAACGGTGTTCCATAGGTGAGTACAACACACAGCCTGTCAAATCTGTTTGTGGTGAGATTGGTGAGATTTGTTACTGATGAGGATTGAGAGTCGTGTATAGTGTCATGTTTAGTGTGTCGTTGCTTGTGTTATTTTCTTCTGGTACATGTTTTGTGACACGATCTTCCCGTTATCTTGACCACATCGTTACTTGGCTTCGTCTCAACTAACAGCCTACTCTAAGCACCTTTGCTCGCTTATCCTTCACCCGTGCCTCTCTGCTGACCGCATTTATTTACCCTTCAGGGCTATTGACGGCACCTACCTGAGCTGGGAGAACGACCAGCTACGGCAGATAATGGCGCACGACCAGCCGCCTCCGCCCCTACAGGGACACTCGGCCAGTTACGACATACAGGGACAGCCGCTCTGGCGAGGTGCGTAGGATTGTAACTTATTGTGACGCTGTGACGTGACCTTAGACGATGTGATGTGACGCCTTGGTGTGACTTTGTAACGTGACCTGTGAGGTGACCCTGTGTGATGATACTCGTGATCTTTGAGGTGATATTGTTCCGCCGTGGAATATATGTGATCTCGCCGTGTATGATCTTGCGGCTAATGAGAAATGACACGGTTTGATCATGCATCATGTAACGTAAGGCTGCGAAATAACTAATATGGTGTCACGCTTGTCGCCTTCCACGTGACCTTTTTCTGGAGGTGCATGACGCAGTCCCCAACCCGCCGAAAGTTTCTCAAAGAAACGGTTCAACTAACTTCAACAGACATACTGCGCTGGAGCGAGCCCTGAAGGGTCACTTGCCGATATTTTGTAGCTCCCCGCGCTCCCCTGAACGGCCAACTACTGTGAAAGTTCGACCTGTTCGGGGAAAGGGTCGCATTTGAAGGCGGATGTAGCTCGAAAGGGCCGCCAGTTATGGGGACCATGTGGGCACCGAACAGGGCTTTTGTGTACCCAACCTCTCCGAAATGCTGAGCTCCGGGTTCTTTCGTCGCTGCGTGGTGCGGAGTTGCCTGCTCGAACGGCCGGCCCTGGGTGCTGTTTGGCCCTCCAAACGACCGATCCGGCCGACCCACGGGACTGAATGTCGTGACCCGGGCGAGTTGGGTCGTTACGGAGCCCCGGATCCGTCCGGGATGCTGCCCGTGACGGAGGATAAGCAACAGACTGCAAGGATGAACCACGAGACCATCCCCGGTACGACTCGCCTCGCTTTGGTTAGATCTGACCATTGACCTGGCCCAACTCGTCCTACCCGTGTGACCTTAGTGCACCATCTTAGCTCTAACAAGATTATCGTTGACCCGAGTGTGACCCATGCGTTTCATCCATTCCAGAACACCTCCCGACGGCCTGCGCTCGAGTGAACGCGCTCCGGTCGCACGGCTATACCCGCGAGGCGCTGCGCCTGGCGACATCTATCGTGCGCACCCTGAAACTCTCCCAGGTGAGCGTCACGGATTTGGGGGCAGTTGGACGTGACCCGTGCGCTTCTGGCTATCAGACGCACGTGATGTGAACACTCTCACGCTACTGAGATTTCTCCTATGTGCTTTGGCTTGTGGCTCTGCTCGCGGGAACAGAGGTTTGCTTTGACGACTTAACGTAGGTTTGGGTGTGGGATATTCATGTGTGGAGTAAAGTTGGTGCAATAATAATAAAGATTACATGCCTTAGGCATCAAACTTTGTAACATCGAATTATCATTACTGTCTCTCATACGACACGTTAAAGTACATCGAAGAAAAGCAAAAGTGCGTAGCAAAGTTGTTATCCTTGAAAGTTTTGTCGTGAGTTTGCTGCCTGGGGCGTAGTATCTTCCTTCCGCGTATGGTGAGTCGTTGGGCATGAACAACGTCCATCAACGTCAGAGTCAAACTTACTTCAGACATCAGCAATAACAGCACACCTGCTTCCCTGTTCTTTCCAAGGTATTCCGCTACAACGCGGGTCATTGTATCCCTTCAGCTGCCCTTTGAACGTCAACAAACAGGTTGTACGTGTTGCAATGTTCCCTAGACACCGCCCAAAATCTCCAGCGGACCCGCCACGGGCTGGTTACTCGTGAACGGGGGCTGTTGTAGTAATCCGAGCAACATCCGGCACAGTAATCCTCTGGCAGTGCAATAATCTACCGCTTCCGCCATCCCTCCCGCCGGACCGTCTGTCTGTCCCCGCAACCATCTGCTCGTCCGTCCGCTCTTCCATCCGTATGTCCGTCTATCTTATCGTCCGTCTGTCTGTCCATCCGCATTTCTATTCGCCTATCCGTCCATTCGTCCATCTATCTATCCAATAATCACCTATGCTTCCGTCCGTCTAACCGTCAGTCTTTCTCGCCCGCTCGTCAGTCTATCCGCTCGTCCGTCCGTCCATTTATTCGTCCGTCCTTTCCGTACAAAGCCGGCGTCCGGCCGGCCGTTGATCCTCGCACCCAGCCGGTACATATTCAGTCGTTCTGACGTGAAGCCCCGTTCGGCCGGTGTTTATGCTAATTGACCCGATGACCTCACGTGCCTGACTGTTTTTCACTCGCAGCCCGGGTGTTGATGTGCCTTATCCCTGGGGTGGGTTGGGCCGGTTTGGGATCCTGGTGGGCGTCATATTTGTGTCCGTTCAGATAGTGGCGCCACCACTGTGGCTGTGTTAGTGCGGTCAGCGGTGATGGCGCTTTGAAGTTAGTTGCTCCTCAGAAGTGGGGTATTGGTCCAATTTGGCACTGGACCAGAAGAAGAATGTACTGATTTTTTTAGTTCTACCGACTACATCCTCGCAAATGTTGAAATTTATGTTTCGCAAAGATGAATAACTATAAGTGTAATTGTTTTGTTGATTTTACAAGATCGTAGTACTCCAGCCGAGAGCTGTGAGTTGTCTTCTTGCCTGTCTTCTGTTCCAGTTTCTGAGCATTTCCACTCCTTGTTCACTGTCCACCCCTCTGTACATTCCCTCAGTCAGTCGGTCTCGCTAATGCTCTCCCCTTTCCGCCCCCAGCTTCAAGCTCAACACCGCTGGGAGGAGGAGAAGGCGCACGTGTTGCCGCGCTGCAGTTTCTCCGGAGTGGCGCAGAGTCCCACTCACGCCTGCCAGGAGGGATGGGTCGGACACCCGCTGGACCCCGTTGGTGCGCTGTTTGACACACTGGCAGAGGCCTCCGTGCTGCCGGACGCGCTCGGAAAGTGCACCTACTTCCCTGGTGAGTTGTGAGGGATGACAGTCAAGGATGGTGTCGGCAAGGGAATGACGGTTCTGGCAGTGCTTTGAAATATGGGTGAAGAACTAATGTACTCAAATGAGATTATGCTAAAGTTTTGTTTGTAGATAGAAGTCGATGGTAAGCTTATACTCATGGTTAGGTTACAATATTTGTATGCGAACGAGTCTATTTTAACGGCATGAGAAGAGGAAAATCTCACACAATCGCCAATCTTCAGTCAATCATCAATCTGTGTGTCAGACAGGTTTTGTTATCCCACCCGATTCCTCCCATCCGCTCACCCCAACCCTCCCCTTCTCTTCCCTTCCCGCAGAGCCGGCCGGCTCCAGTGAGGACGGCTCCAACGTCACCCCTCCGCGGTACCGACACGTCCCCGTGCCCGGCTCACGGGACCGGGCCGAGACGTTCCTCACGCTGGCCGTGGAGGCGGCGCTGCTCGGTCTCGGACAGCAGCGGATCATGCCTGTGGGCCTGTACGCACAGGAGAAGGCGTGCAAACAGGAGGAGCGGCTGATAGCCAAACTGTCCGAGATCGAGGCCGATGGACTGCTCGTGGCGGTGAGTGGAGTGGGTTCGGAGGAGGGAGGGGAAGCGGGAGGCTGTACGAGCTGCCGAAGTGGGTGTGTGGGAGAGAGTTGTGAAACGTGTTTGAAGAACTCATACTGGGTTTGTGGAGGCCGGAAGGATGAAACATGTTCGCGAGAGAAAAGGCTGTTGGCTGTAATTTTTTATGTACTTGGATGTATGTATTTTTAAGAGGGGCTTCAGGGTGTTTCTGGGGTGAGATAAGGATTAGATTACGTGTGCTAATGGGACTAATAAAAGTGTGATTTAAAGCGCGGTAAGGAATTACAGACGAGATGGCACGGAACCCGGCGCTGGGGCGTGTCCAGCCTCCAGATGGCGCTGAGGCCTTTATCGTAGCTCTAGATGGCTCTATGGTCAGTATCTGGTGTCCCCCAGTCGTTCTTCTATGGACTATGGACGGTCGGCAGGTTTTGCCATTGTCAGAGCTCTCCAAGCTTCAATCTTCATGCTTAGCGGGGGCGTAGGATTGCGGACCTACGTTGTTTTCACACAGTTGTTTGTGGTCAAAATTTTTACTCGTTATGTTTCCTGCGTAATCCTGTTTAGCAAGATCTATTAGACAGGCTGGTGTCTTGTTCATCTTATTTTATTTTATTTCTTACATCGGGACATGTCAGTGACTACTCTGGTTATATAACAGTCGCAAAAATAACTTGGAGACGGATCTGCTATAATCCTCAAGTTTCTTGCCATAGCTGTGGTGATGGCGCCCTGTGCAATGTGTTTGTAGCTGTACCTCTTGAGAATGAGCTGGTTTGACCCTGTGACCCAATCACACATGTGTGACGTATCTGACTCGTTGCTTTGACTCGCTTTGAATAGCGCTACTCATGTGTTCCTCTGGCGTCTCTTTGATTCTATGTGACCATAAGTGGTAATTGTAACCTCGTGACTGTGTTATGACCCCCTCCCGTGGTCCGTTTATCTCTTAAACCGCCGCCTTTGCCCCTTTTGTGACACTCCCTCCCCCTCAGGTGTTACGACGGCAGACAATGCTTCTCCTGGAGGGCGGCCCCACCTCGGGACTCGGGCAGGCCATCCACGCTGAGTCTGTCCCCCTGCACACCTTCGCCAAGTACCTGTTCACTACTCTGCTGAGGCACGACGCGGACCTGGCGCAGCGCGTGGGACTGCGAGCGATGAGGTCAGTGCCGCCCCTGCCGTCTCTCCATGCGGGATAGTTCCGGCAGTGAGATAGAGCTGACAGATTCTGAGGCTGAGGAACACGTGACGTGGACGGATCCTCAGATGACAGATTTACTGGTGTCGACGTCTAAGACAACCGGACCCGTTCACTGACGGATATTGAGGCATCCGAGCTGAGTTCCATGGATTCTGGCAAACATTTGCTGACGCACGCTGCTCGCAGTGACGCAGTCAGAGGATAACATGTTCTGAGCCGGCGACCGGTCACGAGACTGAAACGCGTCATGTATTCCTGTGCTTACAGTAGTTACTGTACCTGTAGAATTCTAAGTTGTTACTCTATTTACTCGCTAATGGTGAACCCAGGGGCTCATACGCTCATACATCGTAGAAACTTGATACTTTTTCATATTACATAACATTCGATGTGATGTAATCAATAGGTCAGAGTAGCACGAGAGTCATTACCAATGCAACGCTGTCTTATGCAAGTATTTAGTCTAGCGTTATCGTCATATAATTGCCCGCAATGAGCTCTGACTGGTCAACGCGTGGGCTTGCGAATCTATTTTTGGATGGGAAGGCGCAGTCATGCCAGCCCTACCTTATGGCGCATCGTCTTGCCTCGGCTTTGCCCATTCGGCTTGCCCAGTTTTCTTTGGAAACCATTACTGGATCGCCTATATGAAAGAAGCTAATGACAGGCGGTTGGGTAGTAGGAAAGAGATGTTGCTTGAAGCCATTGGCCTATGCATTCAGTTCGAGGAGTTATGAGTGGTTTTCGATGAAATTCTGTTTCTAGAACAGACACACAGATGCATGTAATTCAAGCGTCGGCTGAAAACCACTGTAACATAGGATGCTGGTGCTTTGAACAGTTTGCCTCAAACTTAGCAACTATCTTATAGCCAATGCTGATGGGGCTGAAATGACAATGCTTTGGGACTCGCTGCGGTAACGATTTCATCTACCTCCGAAGCTCACCTACCCTCTCCCTCTGCGCCGCAGGCTGCCGATTCTCGAGGAGCTGGATGACCCTGATGACACCACGGTCTCCAACATGGTGCTACGACGCTACCCGCGCTGGTTCACACTGGGCAACATCGAGAGCCAACAGTGCGCCCTCGCCTCCACCATGCTCGCCGCCGTCAAAGGTGAGCTACCGTCGTCGAGTGCAGCGTTTGTCTCAACGCAGTCGGCGACGATGATTTCGTCGATGTTGTCGCGTGGGTGGGCAGTGACGGCTTAGAGAAGCCGACAGGACACGGACAGAAATAAGCGCCGTGTGCTGCGCTAGAGCAGTGGGCAGCTGAGGCTCGGGCGGCTTAAATCTGGCTGCCGGAAAACGTTTTTCTTTTTACTTAGATTACGCAGTATAGGTACACTATACGTGTTCGGCAGCGCACAGAAATGATAATCGTCTTTACTCATACATCTATCGCTTTTCGTCAGACTATTTTGTCGTTCGGCTTATGACGAAAAATCAATCGCTTTTGTCTGACCTAGGGCGTCGATCCGTAAAGTACTGTGAGTCTGATCTATTTTACCACATTCAAAGAGTTCAATCGAGTGAGAGGGCGGGCGCCAATTACGGTAATGGTCGAATAGGAAGGGCTACCACTGACCCCATGGCCGGGCAGACTGGGCCGATTGGACTGGTGAAGACCGCTGTTCAGTTTGGGACAGTCACGGTCGGCCAGCCGGAGACGGGCTCTTTCACATTGGCCATCGGAGCGAGAGGTGCTTTGAAAACCCAGAAACGAAAACGAGGAGGCCTGAGTCCGCTGTCTGAACATGTGTCATTTGGTCAGCAGACCAACGCGTTGTTGCTGAATAGTGGCAACTACTGAACCGCAGAACTCCGATGTTGGAGCATTGCGTCATATCGGCATGGGGTCAAATCGGGTTTTTAGATGTGCGGTAATGGTATCTTTTTTGTTTTTATGTTTTTTTCGCATTTGAAGCACTGAAGCATTGAGAATGTTTTACGGCGCATAACATCGCTTACTATTTATTTTGTTGGCTTCTCCTATTATTAACTTTGTGAGCAAAATATTCTCAGAAACTCATGTTTATTCAGCGTAGTTGATTTAGAGGAGAGAACAGCATCGGTACCACACCGTTTCATCACTGGTGGGTTTGTGGGCCCATTGACCGAGCTGGACCAGTGACCAGTGCCTTATCACAAGTCCGGTGCCTTAACACGAGTCCAATGCCTAATCACGGACAGGTTGTCGTCATGTGACTTCAGAGCGTTTTTCTTTTTGTTCCCCGAGCAAGGTTACTAGGCCCAGAATGATCCTTGTTCGGCAAACTCCTGACATTTAAGTGATATTCTCGTCAACTATGAGTATTAAGTTGTGTGGGTTAGCCTTGCCCTAATCCGTTGACTGTGCGTACATTGAATTGTTTCTAGTTTAAATGGAACATTGCAGGGATAAAGCATTTGCCCCATTATTTTGTTTCCTTTATTATCCAGAAAATCAAATAGCTTAATAACATTATTTTGTACCGTTTTATTTCAAGCTATGATTATGAACACCCCTAGCGACGACAGCATGACGGGGTCACGCGGAAGGTCGTGAACTAAGTTGTCGTGCACAAGTTGTTACAGTGTGCTTCAGTTGTTTTCTTGGCACATATAGTAACGGCTGCAGCTGACGTGAACAGTCCCAACAACCCAGTGTTCTATCTGCATCCAAATGAACTTGCACCGGTTTTAAGTCGACCTCGCTTCGCGGTACCTCTTCACGCAAATCGTGTTCTCCTTTTCTGGGCTTCGCTGCATGACTGTCTCCTTGATGTCATCGCGAGGCTGAGCTGTGACATGAAACTGCAGCGGGCTGCTGTATGACTAAAAAAGGAGTTTGAGGGAAGCATTGGGTCTTTGTCAGGGAGTCATGGTCCCCTGACTGACTCGTGCGTTTTTGTTTTGTAATGTATCCCTCTACTGCCTCGTGACACCGTTCAATACTTCCCCTACAGACGACATGTACCGGCTCCGACTCGTGCTCGAAGCCGCCCAGCTCAACATTCACGGCTCCACGCACCTGTTCAAGTTGGCGCAGGACGCGTTCCGGTTCGCTACCTCAGCAGAGGGCCCGCGGCCGGCAATGCTACTGTCCGCCGCCTTCGAGCTGGGACTTCAGGTGGGGCTCTCCGTGACGTGTTAGACGGACAGAAGAACATACAGGATCCTCGTAATTATTGCGGCTCTATGTGGGAGTGTCTAGTGGTCTGGATTTCTGGAGTTGTTTTTGCTTGCCTTTTTAATTACCTCACAAATTATACCGCGTGTCTAGTGGTTGTAGAGAGTCGTGTATCAGTTACAGAAGTAGATGAGTTACCTAGCCGACTGTGGTGCCCAGTCACTGATACGTTAACGGTTCAAGACCTACTTTACTCGGGCTTTTTCACCTTTCGGAATTTTTGCGGAGGTTGTGCGAAAGAAGCTTTGGAACTGCGAGATTTAGTAAAAATAAATGTTTTTATTCACCCTTCGGTCAATTATCAGATTAATGACTATTTGTAAATTTACTGCGAAGGGTGGCCGAATAAGACATACGCTAAATGATTTCTTAGAAACGCGCCAGCGTATCCGGATGCATTCTGTTAAAAAGTGAAAACAAAAACATCCCGTGACTTGCTGAGCAGATGACAGTACAGCTATCTAACAACTCCTACCCATCCATCCGACAACCTGTCTCTTCACCCTGCCCTGGCTACCCGGTCTGTATGAGTTTCCAGCCCGGTCCGTGTGTCTGTGTGTTCGGCCGGTCCGTGTGTCTGTCTGTGTGTCGCTGCAACTCTGCCAGCGCCGCTGATTGACAGCAGCACCGTCTCGCTGCCGGCACTGCATTACGGTCTGACTCTGAGCTGCGCGGGTCGAGCGCCGGACGCCGGCACCGTTCGACACTGAGCCCCGCTGACAGACTGATCCGCACGTCCGCGCTCCGCTGATGTGTCGGCGTGGGCGCCGCCGTCCTGCCAACTCCGCGAGACGCTGGTGGCTTGATGTGCCGGTTGGCTTACCGTGCCAAGATGGGCCTGGGAGACCGCCGCTGAGGCTAGAGATGCTGTGTTATGCGTTATGTTCGGTTCTCCTTAGTTTGCGTTCATGATTTCCAGATCCGTGTCCTTATCCTGTCTTAGAATCCGAGACGTCCGATCACGAAAACAGCTAATGTCTATGTGACTGCTATTAACCGTGCCTTTCGTCGTTTGCGATGATGTTAAAAGCGTCCTGACACGTGCCACTGGTGCCACGTGATTTTTAGCCAAACTTCGCAGTACGTTTATGACTGATTCAGAATTATATCTTGGGTAGGGTGTGTAACGCCTTCTTGTGTGTATCTAACGTCGCCTTATGTGTTTGTGAGCCACAGACATCGTGTCTGATTCCGTTTGGAATCATTTTAGAGCTGACGGCAACTCAAACGTCTGACGCCGACTGACGTCCTGGCCATCAGGTGATGCGGGTGACGCTGACGTCAATGAACTGGCGGCGCCGGGACATGGTCCGCTGGCTGGTGACGTGTGCCACCGAGGTCGGTGTCGACGCCCTCATCACCATCATGCACAACTGGTACACGCTCTTCACTCCGACCGAGGCGACAGGACCGGTGGCGACCACCGTCATGTCCCACACCACCATGCTGCGGTTGAACCTCGACTTCAAGGCTCAGGAGGATCTGAGCAACGCGGCGCGACAGCTGGCGTTGCAGTGTGCCACTAAGGTAAAGAGTTGTGAATGGATGTTTTCTAGTCTATTTTTTGTGAAGTGAAGTTAATTTGAAACATTGTTTTCGAGCTGCAGTCTCTTAGCATCTCATAAAAGAAACATGACGCATTGTATTTGCCGTGAAAAGGAAAAGAAGCGTAACTCGCTTTTGACGATTTTTCAGGAGAGCGATTTTTCTGTTTTACCTTGTATTATCGACGGTTCTTAAAAAATCAAAGAAAATTTGGTGTCAAACTGTTCGCAATACTGCACTGAACCTAACAGTGTTAATATTTTTTACGTGGCATATAAGATATTGCTAGAAAATGGTGTAAGGTGTTTTTGCTTTTCACTCGATGCTCAAATTGCAGCGAGGCATGTAGGGAAGAAAAGCGTAACTACATTCACTCCAGTCCGGCAACCGTATGTGCAGCGGGCGGCTCCATAGCGAAATGCAAAAGAAGCGTAACTACGTAGTTACGCTTCTTTTGCTTGCGAGATCTTATGGTATCGGCGAATATGCGGTGTTTCAAATACGCCAGGACGAAAACGTCTTTTGTCCATTTCGGATGCCTAGATGCTTTTCGAAATAGCTCACGACTTTTCATGCTAAGACTTCATGCTTCATGCTTAGCAATCGCGGCCGTCAGGTCGCACCCTTCGGTGCTGGCAGGTCAGACAGGCTGGAGGGCCGTGGGGTCGCCTATACCGGTGCTAGCAGGCCGGACGGCCGTGGGGTCGCCCCTGTCGGTGCTGGCAAGTAGGGCAGGTCGAGCGGCCGCCTCCTTCGGTGCTGGCAGGTCGGGCAAGCTGGGCGGCCGTATGGTCAGCTCTGCCGGTGCTGGCGGGTCGGGCGGCCGTGGGGTCGCCTCCGCCGGTGCTGCAAGGCCAAGTGGCCGTGAGGTCGCCTCCTTGGGTGCTGGCAGGTCAGGCTTCCTTGGGGTTGCCCCTGTCGGTGCTGGGAGGTCGGGCAGGCCGGGCGGCCACGTTGTCGGCTGTCGCCCATGTTGGTGCTGGGAGGTCGGGAAGCATGGCGGCCTTTGGGTCGCCTCTTCTGGTTCTGGCAGGTCGGGCAAGCCGGGCGGTCGTGGGGGTCACCTCTGCCGGTGCTGGCGGGTCGGGTGGCGGTGGGGTTGCTTTGTTTCGTGCTGGCAGGCCGGGCGGCCATGTTTTCGTCCCTGTCAGTTCTGACAGTCCGCGCAGTCGCAGGGTTTCATCTGTCTGTGCTGGCAGGCCGAACAGGCCGGACGGCCTTGGGGTCGCCTCTGCCGGTGCTGGCAGGTCGGGCAGGCCGGGCGGCCACGTTGTCGCCTTTGCCGGTGCTGGCAGGCCTGACGACCTTGGGGTAGCCTCTGCCGTTGCTGGCAGGCCGGGCAGCCGTGGGGTCGCCTCTGCCGGTGCTGGCAGGTCGGGCAATTCGGGCGACCGTGGGGTCGCCTCCGCCGGTGCTACAAGGCCAAGTGGCCGTGAGGTCGCCTCCTTGGGTGCTGGCAGGTCAGGCTTCCTTGGGGTTGCCCCTGTCGGTGCTGGGAGGTCGGGCAGGCCGGGCGGCCACGTTGTCGGCTGTCGCCCATGTTGGTGCTGGGAGGTCGGGAAGCATGGCGGCCTTTGGGTCGCCTCTTCTGGTGCTGGCAGGTCGGGCGGCCGTGGGGTCACCTCTGCCGATGCTGGCGGGTCAGGCGGCCGTGAGGTCGTCTTTGCCGGTGCTGGCAGGCCGGGAGGGCGTGGGCTCAACTCTGCCGGTGCTGGCAGGTCGGGCGGCCGTGGGGTCGCCTCATTTCGTGCTGGCAGGCCGGGTGGCCACGTTTTCCCCTCTGTCAGTTCTGACAGTCCGAGCGGCCGCGGGGTTTCATCTGTCTGTGCTGGTAGGCCGGGCGGCCGTGGTGCCGTTGGGTCGCCTATGCCGTTGCTGGCAGGTCGGGCGGCCTTGGGGTCGCCCCTGTTGGTGCTGGGAGGTCGGGCAAGCCGGGCGGCCGTATGGTCAGCTCTGCCGGTCCTGGCGGGTCGGGCGGCCGTCGGGTCGCCTCCACCGGTTCTGGTAGGCCGGGCAGGCCGGGCGGCCACGTTGTCGCCTCTGCCGGTGCTGGCAGGCCTGGCGGCCTTGGGGTAGCCTCTGCCGTTGCTGGCAGGCCTGGCGGCCTTGGGGTCGCCTCTGCCGTTGCTGGCAGGCCGGGCAGCCGTGGGGTCGCCTCTGCCGGTGCTGGCAGGTCGGGCAAGCCGGGCGGCCGTGGGGTCACCTCTGCCGGTGCTGCAAGGCTAAGCGGCCGTGGGGTCGCTTTGTTTCGTGCTGGCAGGCCGGGCGGCCACGTTTGCGTCCCTGTCAGTTCTGACAGTCCGCGCAGTCGCGGGGTTTCATCTGTCTGTGCTGGCAGGCCGAACAGGCCGGACGGCCTTGGGGTAGCCTCTGCTGTTGCTGGCAGGCCGGGCAGGCCGGGCAGCCGTGGGGTCGCCTCTGCCGGTGCTGGCAGGTCGGGCAAGCCGGGCGGCCGTGGGGTCACCTCTGTCGGTGCTGGCGGGTCGGGCAAGCCGGGCGGCCGTGGGGTCACCTCTGCCGGTGCTGCAAGGCCAAGCGGCCGTGGGGTCGCCTCCTTCGGTGCTGGCAGGTCAGGCTTCCTTGGGGTCGCCCCTGTCAGTTCTGGCAGTCCTGGTGGCCGCGGGATTTCATCTGTCGGTGCTGGCAGGCCGGACAGGTCGTGCGGCCGTGGGGTCGCCTCCTTCGGTGCTGGCAGGTCAGGCTCCCTTGGGGTTGTTGTTGTTGTTGTTCCCCCTGGGACCTCCTTACGGAGGACCATAGCCGAGAGGCTCCCTATGGCGAAGGTAGCCAGCCTCCAAGGCAGCCACCAGGTCGGCGTCCCGCAGCCGCGACGGGTCGACGTAAATGCTGCCAGTTAGCCGCAGGCGGGCGCCAAGACGTGCTCCGGCACGTCCGCCTCCTCCCGGCACACGGCGCAGAGCGCCGCGGGGCACCGCTTATCGGAGCACTGCAGGCATGCCACGGAGGGGTGGCGGCCGATCCGGTGCAGGTATTGGAGCGAGCGGCCCCAGTGGCCCGTCCTCAACTGGTGCACCGAGATGGCGGCCTCTCGGTCCTCTCCGGGGATGGGGAGCGGCAGGGTGCTCCCGATGATAGTCTTAAAAAAGGAGTCGGGCCAGTTTTCGCGCCACTGACGTGTGGCCGTCCGATGAACTGCCCGTGTCAGGGACCGAGCGTCCGAGGGCACGGCGCCCTGGGGCAGGGTGGCCGCTTGCTTGGCCAGGGCGTCAGCGCGCTCGTTCTCCGCCAGCCCGCAGTGAGCAGGGACCCACTGCAGGGTCACCTGCCGGCGCTCGGCAATGTCCAGCAGCGTCCTCCAGATCGCCGCGCCGATAGTGGAGGTCTGGGCGGCCGCTCCCGCGCTGAGGAGGCTCAGGGCGGCTCGTGAGTCAGAGCACGCCACCAGCGGGGCGGGGGACGGCTCATCCCGGACTCGCTCCAGCGCCGCCCTCAGGGCGAGCAGCTCCGCACGGGTGCTGGAGCAGAGGTCTCCCGCTGCCACCTCCACCTCGAGAGTCTCCCCCGACGCGGTAAAGATGACGGCGCCGCCCCCTCCTCGCCTGACCCCAGCGTCCGCAGAGCCGTCGGACCAAATCCACGTGGCCTGGGCTGGGAGCGCCGCCAAGTGCTGCCGCGCGGCCTCTCGTCGCGTCTCGTTGGAGGAGGCTCGACGACCGCCGGGTCCCACGTCCAGATTGAAGGCGATCGGGCGGCAGGTTGTCCACGGGAGGAGGGGAACCTCGAGGCGCGGCTCCACCGTCACTCCCTCGGCGCCCGCCTCGGTCAGCGCCGATCGCCCCAGTTGTCGCCAGCCGGTGGTAGACCGCAGTCGAGTGGGTGGGTCGGCCTCCGCGACGCGGCGAAGAGGGTCGTCCTCCGGCAGGGCGAGCGCTCGGCAGAGCGTTCGCGCGGCCAGCGTCTTCCTGGTGGACCATGCTGAAGGGATGCCTGCCTCGGCCAGCAGGGGATCCCTGGGGGTGGACCGTGGGCATCCGGTCACCACCCGGGCGGCCGCCAGCAGCTCGCGCTCCACCAACTGGACGTGTGACGGGGACGCGGCCGGGAGCAAGGCACCCGCCGCGTATTCAAGGGCTCCCCGGACAACCTTGGGAGCCCGGGCGACCCCAAGGGCTCCCTTGGGGTCGCCCCTGTCGGTGCTGGGAGGTCGGGCAGGCCGGGCGGCAACGTTGTCGACCGTCGCCCCCGTTGGTGCTGGGAGGTCGGGAAGCCTGGCGGCCTTTGTATCGCCTCTTCTGGTGCTGGCAGGTCGGGCAAGCCGGGCGGCCGTGGGGTCACCTCTGCCGATGCTGGCGGGTCAGGCGGCCGTGGGGTCGTCTTTGCCGGTGCTGGCAGGCCGGGCGGGCGTGGGGCCGTTGGGTCGCCTATGCCGGTGCTGGCAGGTCGGGCAGCCTTGGGGTCGCCCCTGTCGGTGCTGGCAGGTCAGGAGGCCTTGGGGTCTCGCCCCTGTCGGGGCTGGCAGACCGGGCAAGCCGGGCGGCCATATGGTCAGCTCTGCCGGTGCTGGCTGGCCGGGCGGCCATGTGGGGTTGGGTCGCCTCAGTGTCGAAATGCAGGTAGGAAGATCCCGCCCCTGATCGTCCTATTTCACCAGAACTCGCTCGACTCTACTCCTGATTTCACATTTTCCTTTAGCTGCACGTAGACTTTTGTTCCGTCTTTTTTATCGCTTCAGTTCTTAACCTCTTCAGAGACCAAGTCTGCTCCTAAACCGCAATTTGCACACGCTTCTGATAGAGTTCACAGCGAGCATGCACCACAATAAATAAAGTAAACTATTGGATATCGCTCGTGTGGCCTTGGTCTAGGGTATGGCATGGCACCCCATACCTATACCTACTATTTCAAGTTGGTGGTTTTGAACTTTGGTTGCTTTTATCTTACAGTTTTCCTCCATTCAAACGCCCGGATACCTACTAGAAGATATTGGTGAAACATAGAAAGGCGGCAAACGCAAGCAAGAAGGGCTTAATATATTTTTAATGCAAATTTTCCTGGCAAAATTAAACTTCTACCAAGTGTTATGCACTCACCTGAAAGGCAAAAAAGCGCAAGTGCGTAAAAGTCAGCGCGGTGATAAGCAAGAAAAGCGCAACTACTTAGTTGCGCTTTTCTTGCCTATCACATCGTCCTGACCGCTGCAGATACGCTTTTTTAATAGCTGCGTTTGTAGTTACGCTTTTTTTGCTTGCGGTCAGGGAGGATGAAAAACATTTACGCTTTTCTCAAAAAAGAAAATTTGATATAACTCGAAAAATTATACGAATTTCGAAAAACGGTTTTGCAGAAAGATGGAGATTGCTATGCTCTATCTAATGGTATCAAAATCTCAAAATCGAAAAAATGCGAGTTACGCTTTTCTTGGTTATCACGGCAACTAAAAGAAAAACGTTGTATAAGTCAGAAATGCCCGTTTTACAGTTCATTTTTCCCCCAATGCGTTGTGGCAATAGTGTGCCAAAACCTTACGTGTGACATTTCTTGCTTACTTTTTTTAGTAGGGATAACGAGAGGATGGTCCGACTTAGCTCCGACATACGTCTCACGCTGCCCCCTCTGTACGCCGCAGGACCCGCCCAACTGCGCGCTACACGCGCTGACACTGTGTGAGTCGGAGCCCATCGCCTTCGAGACGGCCTACCAGATCGTGATCGACGCAGCCTCTCACATCATGACCTCGTCCCAGCTGTTCACTATCGCCCGCTACATGGAGCACCGCGGCTACCCGATGCGGGCCTACAAGCTGGCCATGCTGGCCATGAACAGCATCTACCTCGTCTATAACCACGTTAGTATGGGGTGGGAGGGTGGTGGCAGTGGGTTGGAAGGGTGTCAAAATGGGGTGGAAGGATATAGTTATTGATTGGTGTCGGATGCCAAGGAAGGCATTAGCCCTTGCCAGTTTTTAGAGTATATCCCATTATCATCCCAGCTTCTTCGTACGAGTTTGATACGTGTGCTATGCATGTCCTAAAAAGATGCTGGAGTCGACAGTAAGTCCCTATTAACTAAGATCTGTAAGAGCTGTACCTACCGTATAATTCACGATGATTGCTAAAACCTACAGTTCTAGAGATTAACTGTGGATAGTTATGAAACATGGCAGCAGAATGACGTCCAAGTTATGTTTTATGTAAGTTAACTGAGCTCCTATCAATTACCTTAGATGCATAAGCAAATATGTGCGCAATATAAACGGTTACAGTTAAGAGCATCAGTCGCAAACCCTTCTTTGTAATGCGCATTTCCTTTGTTTATGACCGGTATCTAGCTGTGTCTAGGCTGTATCTGTACATATTCTGTCTGGGGTTAATGTCATATCATAGCCGTGTGCGGAGTCTCATCCGGTGTTATCTCCATCGCCTGTCAGAGGCGGCGCAGGGAATCAGTAGGCCAGAGGTAGGGATAGTTCATCCCGGTCGATAACTCCCATTTCCCTTAGATACAGATACTTGAGACGATATTTTCTAACTTCGCTAGGGATTGATCCCGCCTGCAAGAGGACAATGGAATGATCGACCTTTCTCAAAGCAAACACGGATACATAGCTCTGCTGTCACATTCAGATGAAAGTGAGCCTGGTGGACTTATAAAAACTTCAGATATATAGCAACGGTTAAAAACGCTATGTCCTAACGGTGACATGGCACGCATCCCTCGAGCCTCAGGTGTGTACCGGTCTCCGTCTTTGGGAGGGCTTCTCTGCTTCCCGTTTTGTTAAAGGGACCCTCCCACCTTAACATTAGATTTGAGTTGAGATAGCCAAAATGGGGTCCCTGGCTCACAATTACCGGTTTCGGCACTCACAACATCGAGAAATGCCTTAAATCGGAAATATTGAATTTCAAAATTGCAGCATTTTGATTCAGAGGGGCTAATGCATAGGAATACCCCTCTGAATGTGTGACGTCAGCGCAGATATCTAACGATTTTTAAATGTTTGACTAAAACGTTTTGTAGCACGCGGTGGTATATGCTGCTTTGCGCGCAACAAATGCCGCACTTTCAAATAAAGTCGCTAGGAACAGCGGAGATCCCAAAAAAGTAAACAAAAGTAAAAGTCTAATATCTTGAAAACCGGTGAATATTTTTCGATGAAATGTGGTAGATATTCGTTTTTGCTCTTTCTGAACCGAGCGACATCACATTCATGCCAATTCATTAACTTTTTTGAAGGTGGGAGTGTCCCTTTAAGTCAGTCCTGCTGACCAACCCATGGCTGCTGCTCTGTATACGCTTAGTGTTACCACTGCTGATGGTTTTGCCGCCCCATCCTCCCCGGTGTATTAGTCCTGTAATGCCACCCTGCTCCCGGGAGGATCACCGTGTCGACCAACCTGTCGGCTTTACGGTCAGAACGGAGCCGCGGCCCGGCTGTCAGTGCCTATTGGCGATCCCCGGTGACAATGGGTGACCGAGACGGGAGCTATTCTCAGAGCATCGCGCCGACCACGGGAAAGGCAGGCGCCTGCGATACGCCGCTGGTTCCCAGCGATGTTTCATTGTAATGGGTTGGGATGTATAGGAGAGACATTCGTTTTCCAGGAGGAGGTTTGACTTAACTGGCAATTGGAATGTATCATTCTTGAGGAAGAATATTCGGCATTTCATTGACGAGAACTGGTCACCCAAGTAGTTTATCCTCAGCCGTCGGCCTACATCAGATCGGCCGAGGTAATTTAGCCACATTTATCAGTATACAGTCCAGGCTAATTATGCTGGCCAGCTAAGAGTCTTAAGACGGCAGGGCCATTTTATGGTTATGCTTTCAGTAAATGTGTTCATGATGGGTGCGTAAGTACCGTCATTTCCTGCGATTGAGCTCTTTTAACGAGACATTATTATACACGCAAAATTATTAACCGAAAACTGAATGGCCGTACCCAACAGCGCTCATTTATTCAACGTGCCTCTCGCTGCTGGTGTCATAACCTCAAAACGCCTGCGTCCGGCGATTCCTGTGGGCTTGTGGGAATTCACAGGAATCCCACAGGAACCCACATTCCTGTGGATTCCTGTGGGCTCCTGTAGGCATGTGGCCTTGATCTGTGAGCGGTAGCTAATGCCGTTGCTACGTGCTGACTGCTGACGTGTCTTCTCTCTCGTTCGCAGGACACCCACCCGGCCATCAACGACATCCACTGGGCGTGCGCGCTGAGCCACTCGCTGGGCAAGTCGGAGCTGGCTAACATGGTGCCGCTGCTGGTGAAGAACGTCCAGTGCGCCACGGTGCTCTCGGACGTGCTGCGCCGCTGCTCCATGACCGCGCCGGGATTGTCGTCACCGGACGCAAAGCGGCGACCGGCCAAACCCCTGGGGTACGAGCGGCCGCCGCTCAAGGCGCTCCTGGAGGCGGCAGTGGCGGCGTATGCCAACACGACCCACTCGCGGCTGACACACATCAGTCCGAGACACTATGGAGACTTTATCGAGTTCCTGAGCAAGGCGCGTGATACATTCCTGCTAGCGCCGGACGGCCGCGCTCAGTTTGCAGCGCTGCTAGAGAACATGCGCACCGCCTATAAGGGAAAGAAGAAACTCATGTGTCTCGTGCGGGAGAGGTTTGGATAACGGCGGCGCGCGCCCAACAGCTGGCGCCAGTGATATAGTCAACGATCTCAGAGAGACGCGACGACCGGCCGACCGATCGCGCGGCGGTGCGGTGACGTCACGGCGGTCCGATGACGTCATTACGGTCCGGTGACGTGGTGCCTTGGCGGCGGTGGCTGGGCGCAGGGCGCGGACAGCCGCAAGCTCTTCCACCGGGCCGCGCGGCCCCGCTGATCGGGGTGTCGCCGCCGCCGGCGGCCTACAGCAATACTGCGGAGGACGGCGCGCGTTCCTAGTTTTCTACGTCGGCTTTGGATGAGCGGCTGGCCGGTGTCCAGTGACCCATCGAGTGAGACGCGGCGCGGGGGGCCACGCGTGGTCCCTGCCTGCGCGCCAGGGCGGCCGCCCGGGCCCGCCCAAAGTCCGTGAGCGTATGATGGTGCGTGTGTCACTGCGAGCGTCCGCCTGGGATGTATATGTGTCAAAGCTGTTGGGAAACGTAGGGCATTGGTGTGTTTATACCTCATTTTGTTCTGACCGAGTCGGCAGGCCTAGCGCCGCCCACCGGCAGGCGCCAGGCGCGACATTTATGTTACATATCTGCCCGTTGGGCGGCTTGCCCCGCGGCCTCGCCCTGACAGGGATGTGTGATGCGGATCTCGCCAGTTGTATTGAGGCAGCGCCTTCTATCTATGCCGGTTGGTGTCGCGTTTAGTGGCAGTCTTCTGTGCAGACTCTATGCAAGCGGCGGCGGCCGGATCCAATGGTCGGGTCGGTGGCCTGTTTCGTTGATTGGCTGGCGCTGTAGTGTGGTAATTTGACGGTGTCGTCATCCAGGCGGAGGGGCACTGCCCAGTGCCCAGGCCGGTCCAGGCGAGCGTTATATTCCTCATGACAAGGCTGATTCAAGGAGGTCCAATCCACGAGCAGGATGAATTGATATTGAACTCGTCATAATTTGTGAATATTTTGTTGATTTGCGATTCACGTGTCTGTCAAAGGCATGCCACAGTCTCAGAGTAATAAAAAATTGTGGAGTAATTTCAACCAACGCAAGGCCATGTAAATCAATAGGGTGGTATCGACTGAAAGGTGTAAAGACCTGTGTCAAATTTCTGTTGAACATTGCTGCGGCTCAGCAAAGCCGTGAATATTTGCATGAAGACAGACGGAGCTGCAACTGCTTGTGTTCCCATCAATCTGAGCTCTTCCATTTCTTTGCCTCTGGCGCCACGCCCGGCGAATTATTTTCCGTGAGTGGGTACATTATTTGTCTGTCGTTAAGCCTGAAACTGTCTGCGTAATTTACGTTGTGTAGTGTTTGTAGCATATTTTTGTATGATCTCATTGCCACAATGAAATACATGTTATTGATTGCTGAAATAATGGCGTGTCTGGTGTTACATGTACAAAATCTGACGAATGTGCTAGAAGTGAAAAGATTAGCAGATTAAAAAGCTAAAAAGTTGATATTTTTCAAGTGCTTCTGATTTCAACGAATAGTCGGGCAATAGCAGTACCAGACTTTCCGTTTAAAACTGTATGTACTTAACCAGGACTGCGGAGTCGATTGATTTTCGGTGTCTCCGACTCCGACTCCGGCTTCCAAAACCATTTCCGACTCTAAATCCGGGCAGAACTTCCGAACCAAACCGGCTCCAACTCCGACTCCGCACAAATGTCGCTAAATAAGCCTCCGCTCAGAAGAAATTGAAAAGGATTAAAACGAGCGGATTAGGTACCTACTATCGCCCGTTGTCTTGACGTCATTAGCGGTAACATATAATCCCTGTGAAGGAAGTAAAAGGCGGACATTGCCGTCATCAGTCAATTTTATCACACGCCCAGTTTATATACGAGCCATGCAATACAAATACTGTTGCCGTCGTGCCGAGTTCTATGATAATTTCTACTTTCAAAAAAGACTATCACTCACGAGATGCAATAAGTTCTGTTTTCTTTGCTTCTGTTGTAGTTTCAGGGCCTTGTTTCTCTTGCATCGTTTTTTTTTTCTTATTTTTAACGACACTCGACAGGCGCCTTCACCGTTTAATGACAAAGTAGCGAGCGTCGCGCTTTTTTCCTCGTAATTGCTCTTGGCCTGTCCCTGGTTATGTCAAATTTGTTTTCTTTTCCATGTGACTAATAAGTGGAAACCTTGGTGGAAACTCATATTTTCGCACGTGGAGTCGATTAGATAAGAATGAGGCGCGTTTTCATCATGGTTGTGAACGTGTTACCGTTACGGGTATCCAGTTAAGAGTGGAGTAGGTGATGGATACTCGGTTAGAATTAACGTACGCGTTGTGGTCGCTCGTCTCTCGCACATGCTGGTCTGTTCTGGCACAGCTTTGTAATAGTTTATAACAGCTTTGTAACAAACAGTCTGTAGCAGCTCTGTAACGTTTTGTCACAGCCCTGTTACGGTCTGTCGCTTTGTAACGGTCTGCCACAGCTTTGTAACTGTCTCTCATAGCTTTGTAAATGTCTGTAACGACTCTGAAACGGTCTGTCACAGCTCTGTAATGGTTTGTCACAGCTGTTTAATATTTTGTCACAGCCGTAGCGGTCTGACATAGCTCTATAATATCTGTATATTTCTGTTCCGTTTTGTCACATAATTGCGGCAGGATATGACGTAATATCCTTGTAAAACTGACCGGTGTTGAATGGTTGGTAGGTAGGTATTCGGTAGTGTATGTGATGAGAGACGAGATACTCCTGCATGTGATAGTTGATACTCGTATTCCCGCCATCAAGTACTTTTGCATGGATGTGCATTGTCAATTGTATAATATTCATGTGGTCTCACCACGACCCTGTTTGTTCAAAACACTCTACCGTCACCCACCCACTTCTTACCGAGAATACCTTCTTTTTACACAGCCCAGACGAGTCGAAAGAGACGGCAGCAGTGTCGAAGGGTGAAAGATGATCGCACGGGATAGCGGGGCCGCGGATGGGGATCCATCTGCTCTTATTCCAGTCCGCCTCGAGATGATAAATGACACCTTTCAGCATCATAAATGGGGAGTGATTTCCTTACAGAGCTCCAAATCCATTAGCTATACGAAAAAAGGCATTTGCTCGTCTATTTTGATTTATTCCGTTCACTGCCATACTGAATTTGAGTAATTGTGATATATCTTTATTCCGGGTCATTGAATACCTGTATGATGTATCCCTTGCTTTGCGAGGCATGGGAAAGTGAACATGAGCAACTAAATTATCCCTCGCATGTGTAGGGGGGGAGGGTCGGATGGACCCCCTCCCCCATGGTTTTTCGCGAATAACTAGCGCAAAAAGCGGCCGATCGCGACGAAACTTTCAGTACCCTCGAGTTGATCAATTTTCACCGACTCTGAAAATTTCATGGCCCTGACCCTAGTGACCTTTGACCTGTGACCTATTTCTCGAGGCCATGTTTGGCCGGAAGCGCGATTCGGCGTATGTCGGCTCGCATTAGCCGCGCGTTTGCAAGCTTTTCGTGGTTTCAAACGTTCAAACATGTGATTCGATGTTGCTCCCATGCATTAGGGTGAATGTCAAGGTCACCTAAAGGTCAGGTCAGGTCATTGACCTTTGGTGACCTCGGTTCACTTTTTCGAGTTTACATGTTTCTGGGCTAGTTTTTCTAGATTAATTCGAATTAAGATACCATTTGAACATTTACGAAGTAGTTTTGGTGCCTTCGTAGCATGTTACAAAGCTGTCAGAGGCGGTTGACACCTACTACGAATACCCGTCACGACCCCTACTGGTTGACCTGACCTGACCTGACCCGACCTGGTCTAAATGCCTAAAGACATCATCTGTGATCAAAACTAACACGATATTCGCGATTAACACCCCGAAAACCCCATAGCAGCCACACTTTACGACTTTCTAACAAGTCCAGATTTTCCCGACTTTTTGGTCATTGACCTGACCTGCAAGATCAACCAATGACCTAGGACCTTAAAATTGGGTATCATCGGCTTCGTCTCGTGACGGGCAACACGCTTGTTTTTTTTCTCTCCGAGAAGCTCTAGCTCGATCAGGGGCCAAACGGCAAGGGGGGTCCAACCGACCCCCCCCCCCCATCCCTACACGTAAGAAGGTGACAAACGCCGCACACATGCGAGGGTTATGAATAGGGCTGGCGTCTAAGGCATATGCTGCGCTGATTTCTAATACCCTGGCCACATCACATATCCGCTGTCTGCATCACCCCTTTAGCCCCAAGACGCATGATAGCGTCTTCACTCGACCAAACGCGCTTCAAGTGATCACTGGTGAGGGAAAACCCACTTGTGGACTTCTTCTGAGAGACACACACAGATAAGGACCACATGTTCCTTCCGGTCAGCTTCTACAAACTATCAATATAGCCTTCAGCGAATCTGACGATCGACGTAGCGGATGTATTCGTGGCTCAAAAGCTCCCTGGTGGAAACGAACGCCCTCACTCGCCGTGGCCAAGTTCCCCGAAGTCCTTCCTTATGAATACCGTTGTCGTCATTGTTCTGTGAAGATTGCCTGTAATTTGCTGGGAAATTATGGCGAACGAGAGTCCAAAAATATATCAAGCTATTGCGCATTGCGATCATGCGTAGATAGTTACATAATTGCTCAATTTATTATAATGCGTTGTTGTTTCGGGCTACACTGAGGTAAAAATTGTTAAAAACCAAACAACTTAAACAGTTTTGTACCTCAGTATAGCATGGAACTAATGCGAATTACAATTATCTATCAGAGGAAGATTAAGAAATGACACTTCGTCAGTACCTGATTGCTAAATTTATTATTTGCCCTGCCTAATACATAATGCTTGTAAATTTGAACGTATCCAGCGTTGTTCATCTTTTACCGTGTACTAGTCCAACTTTTACCTCAACTCTGTTTTGCTCATTTATATATATTATATATATATATATATATATATATATATATATATATATATATATATATATATATATATATATATATATATATATATATATATATATATATCTTCTTTTGTTTTTCAGCGTGTTCTGCTGATATCTGTTTTTGTGCGCAAGATAAAGCTGCATTGGGTTCAATACATGTATTTATGTATTCATCTACGACCAGCTTGCTACAATACCCTATAACCAAACAATATATTTAAGTAAAATAAATATTCACTGACATTCTCGTACTCAACAGTGGAACATTTTGGATAATATTGCACTGTTGAAGTGAGAAGCAACAATCATATTTGTACGGAGACATTTATGCGTAGACGGATATTCGGTAATCATTCGTGAGCGTTTTAGGACCATATGCCAGACTTAAAGATGCCCTTATGAAATTGCAGTTCCGCAGTTACAGAGACATTGTAGTCTAAATCGTGGTACGATCACACTCACTTATATATAATTTGTTTATGTATTCATTTAAATGGAAATAGAACGCTGAACCTTTGATAAAATCTTCATTTCAGCAGCATTTCTTAAACGGCATTATTGACAAATTCGGCTGCAAAAGTCTCCGATAGATGGAAATCTGGCTAGCCACCTCGACTGTGGCCTGCTGGCGTTTCCTGCAGTAATTTGATAACGTCCCCGCACTGCTCTCTCGGCCGAGCGCGGCAGCGTGTCTGGCGGGTGCAGAGGTGGCTGTGTAGCACTCTCTGTGCGCGTCCCCGGAGGCCGTTGGCCGTCAGTCAGGTGGTGCCGCCATCGTGTGACCCGTTCCGCCAGCCGCTGCGCCCGGCCCGCTGCAACTGTGTTGTTTGCCGTGCGCCACCGATTGCCGCACAAGTCACCGGGATAGCCGCGCTGCGTCGGAGCGCCGCGCCGCCGCGTCGCGTTCGATGGTGGCGCGTCGGCGGCGGGTGGCGCGAATCGACGGGGGTGGGGTTGTTACACGCCAGATCGGCCGAACCGCAGGAATACGTGGTCCATGTCCTGTCGCTTAGCGCCGTTGTCACTGAAGCCGATCTGTCCCTGCACTGAAATCAAAACAGACGGGACTCATGTCAGAGTGGGTGTGGAGGAGATGTGGAAATGTGGAGGACTTATTGGGAGGGATGTGGATTGTGGGGCTGAGTGCCTGATAAACGAGATAAACGAGATAACACGATACGCTCGCAAACGAAATACGGTCTAAAATTTAAAGACGTTACATACATTGTATTTTCAGAATAGAATATGGAATGTTATAGATATGCTTTGTTGGGCTGAACTGATCAAACTAGCTATGCAATTCGTGATTTCGTCACATTAATGAACTGTAGTAGAACTGGTGCGTTAGAGAAAGTTTCCTTCCAACAGACGCCCTCTAAGACTTATGGTAGGAAAAACTTCCGTTCTTTTCTCACGGCGATTTACTGAAGTGTCTGTCTTCACACGGCATTTAGATGCCACTTAATCCCAAGCTAACTCAAGGACTACTGTGAAAATCAGCTTATCTCACTTTAGAAAGCTTTCACCACGCCTTCAGTTCTTAAGTTATCTTTATTCCGAGTCAGATCGAAGCAAAACGAAATTAGTATGTCGGTTAATTCCGATCCAAACACTTATATCTAGCAACGAAGAGAAATATGAGATCACATTATTTGGTAATTGCTTGGTTCTTAAGCTTGCTAGAAGAAGCTGAATGCTATCGCCCTATGTTTATGTAGTCTTAACCCTCGCATGTGTAGGGGGGGGTCGGATGGACCCCCCCCATGGTTTTTCGCGAATAACTCGCGTAAAAAGCGGCTGATCGCGACGAAACTTTCAGTACCCTCGCATTGATCAATTTTACACCTACCCTGAAAATTTCATGACCCTGACCCAAATGACCTTTGACCTGTGACCTCTTTTCCGAGACCATGTTTGGCCGGAATCGCGATTTCGCGTATGTCGGCTCGCACTAGCCGCGTGTTTGCAAGCTTTTCGTGGTTTCAAACGTTCAAACATGTGATTTGATGTTACTCCCGTGTGTGTCAAGGTCACCTGAAGGTCAGGTCAGGTCATTGACCTTTGGTGACCTCGGGTGACCTCGGGTCACTTTTTCGAGTTTTACATGTTTCTAGGCTAGTTTTTGGAGCTGAATTCGAATTTAGCAACCATTTGAACATTTACGAAGTAGTTTTGGTGACTTCGTAACATGTTACGAAGCTGTCAGAGGCGGTTGACCCGTACTACGAATACCCGTCACGACGCCTACTGGTTGACCTGACCTGACCTGACCCGACCTGGTCTAAATGCTTCAAGACATCATCTGTGATCAAAACTAACACGATATTCGTAATCAGCACCCCGAAAAACCCCTTAGCAGCCACACTTTACGACTTTCTAACAGGTCCCGATTTTCCCGACTTTGGGTCATTGACCTGACCTGGAAGGTCAACCAATGACCTAGGACCTTAAAATTGGATATCATCGGCTTCCTCTCGTCACGGGCAACACGCTCGTTTTTTCCGCGAAGCTCTAGCTCGATCAGGGGCCAAACGGCAAGGGGGGGGGGTCCAACCGACCCCCCCCTACACATTAGAAGCTGGCAAACGCCGCACACATGCGAGGGTTAATGTCTACCGCCTCAAAAAAGATGTGCTAACTTCTCTAGGGTGCGATAATCAGTGTCAGCATACCGACGCTAGTTCTTAGCCCAGACGCTCATTACGACTATTTTGGTGACGGTGCTAAAGCTAATGTGAAATGTCGGTGTCGGTGTCGGTGTCGGTGTCAGTTTCGGTGCCCGTTTCGTTTGTCTCCATTTCTGTTCTGTTAACGTGCCCCCTGCCTCACGTGCCCGCCGCGAGCGTCCACTCACACTCGTCCTCGAGGTAGTCCTCCATGGCCCGCTGAACCTCGCGCAGTGCCAGGATCTTGGTGCAAATGTTCTGTGTCCGCAGCGGCAGCTGGTCGAAAAACTCTGGTCGGCAGCCGTCGGCCGGCGCTGTGCTGGCAGGCGAGATCAACAGCAGGCAGCTGATGGCACACACCACCGCACTCACCATCGCTGGGAGCTGCATCGTCCTGAGAGAGAGAGAGGGAAGGGCAGGGCAGGTCAGGTCAGGTCAGGTCAGGTCAGGTCAGGTAAGGTTAGGTCAGATTAGGGTAAAATCAGGAGTTGTCAGTTTTACTCGAGTCGGGTCAGGCTGGGTTATGTCGGGTCTGACTAGCTCAGGTCAGGTCTGATCGGGTCAGGTCGGGTCGTTTCGGACATACTAGGTCAGATCAGTTCAGGTCAGATTAACACCCGAAGGATAAATTGGTAAGACCGGGAAAGGTCGAGTTAAAAAGGTCAGGCATACCGACAGATCACGGGTTAAAGGGACCCTCCCACCTTCAAAAAAGTTTATGAATTGGCATGAAAGTGATGTCGCTCGGTTTAGAAAGAGCGAAAACGAATATCTACCAAATTTCACCGAAAAATATTCACCGGTTTTCAAGATATTAGACTTTTACTTTTGTTTACTTTTTGGGATCTCCGCTGTTTCTAGCGACTTTATTTTAGAAGTGCGGCGTTTGCGGCAGATGTTGCGCGCAAACAGCATATACCACCGCGTGCTACAAAACGTTTTAGTCAAACATTTAAAAATCGTTAGATATCTGCGCTGACGTCACACATTCAGAGGGGTATTCCTAAGCATTAGCCCCTCTGAATCAAAATGCTGCAATTTTGAAATTCAATATTTCCGATTTAACCCGCGCCCCACTGGGGTCTGTGTATAACACGCCCTACTGGGGGGGGGGGGCTATTCATAGCCCCCCCTCCTAACTCCGAAACTACTGGGCCGATCGTCAAAATTCAAACGGCGTCTGATAGCTCCGGAAAAACTGTCGAGCGAAACCTAATTTCATTGACCTCGAGGTCACCGATGACGTCACAGGTCAGGTCAAAGTAAAAATTATTAGCACTTTGGCTTGTTCACATTTTGGGCTCTGGCCGCCGTCTTACAAGTCAGATCAGGCTCATTTTTGGTTTCCACACTCGTGAACAGATGCTCTAGATACCTTGCGGGTACCAAACTTGTACTTTGATTTTCAGGTCAGGGTCAGGTCATCACAGGTCACGAAAATATTATATCATGCGTCGGTCACGTGACACATGTTTTATGGTCCATTTAGGCCATAGATTTCGAATTTGATGTCTTCTATGTCATTCGAGGTCATTTTGAGTCGAATTTAGCTTAGGTCAGGTCACTTTCGGGTCAAAAAAGGTCAAATTTTGAAGTTGAAATTTTTCAACAAAAAAGGTGTCTATTGGATGCAGTTTGAGCTCAGGAACACGATGGTGCCATTTATATTGGTGTACGATGCCAAATACGTACTGAAAAATTGATTTGAAAAATTAATAATTGTGAATTTTTTGCAATAATGCGTATAACTTGGCCATTTTTGAAGATATTTAGCTAAAACTTGCTAGATTTAGTCATAATCATGCGTTCTGTCACATATATTCCGGTTTTTTTCGAAAAGTCAAAAACTTTTTGAAAAAAAAATATAAAAATATAAATTTTGAATATTATTATATAAAATTTTCGAAATTTTCAAAATTTTGAAAATCCGAGATAGCAGTTTGATAGCACGGTCAATTCTGAGTTCTTTCATGCAAAGAAATTGGATCTAGCTTAAAAACTGAGCTCTTGGGAGCGATTGCCGTGGTTCAATGTTTTGCGTCGAAATCGGACGAACATGACGTCACTCTGACGTCATTTTCCGGCCGACCTATGGTAGGTACGAAGTTCAAATTTTGACACAAGGTGTCAAATTGATGCAGCCGAAGGTACTGAAAGTTTGGCGTCGATCCGTCAAGCGGTTTGGAAGTTATTACAGAAAAACGGGAGAGGGGGCTATAAATAGCCCCCCCCCCCCAGTGGGGCGCGGGTTAAGGCATTTCTCGATGTTGTGAGTGCCGAAACCAGTAATTGTGAGCCAGGGACCCCATTTTGGCTATCTCAGCTCAAATCTAATGTTAAGGTGGGAGGGTCCCTTTAAGCGTTATACCGTAATAATCATCCAGCAGAAAAGGCGGATGGACGTGGTAGGCATAGGTTGGTCAAAGAGATGGTAATGATGGTTTAACGCGCTTCATATGCTTGAACTGTCCACTGCACATTTTAATGAATGTTCAATTACCTACCCAAAGCTACTTAACACACCCACAACGAACATTAACAAGTTCATACGGTAGAAGGATTAGGTAACACACCCGAATACTATATGCATAGTAATTTCTGAAAAATCGCTAACTTCAGATCTGACGCCCTACCTTTCTAAACTTTGTCTAGAGTGCTTTCAGCCGTTCCGGTAGGGATTCATGAGCTCTTAGAACGGCCCTTGATGTTGGTGGGCCCACGCGCCAGGGACTGATTGAGACGACTGAATCACTCCGTTCGTGGTATCGGTGCGGTCAGTTGCCTCGCCAGAGTGATCCACGATGGGGTCGAATGGAACAGTCGACGTCGTGCGGGCTTCCCCGAGGAAGGGCCGTATTTTTATATTTTCTTCAAAGGTATGGGCGGATTTCCGAGATAAGAACATAGGCTACGCACTACGTAGGTGCGCAGATCATGTCCCCCCTTGGGATGTTCCGAGCATTTGACATGGTGCATATCTTATCGATAAATTCAGTTCGGAACAGGATAGACTCAGATAGAATAGCTTATCGTAATCCAGATCACACTGAGCCCCTGGGCCCTGTAGCAGAAATACGTTAATCCCGTCAGATCTTTTAACTATGATTTAAATACGCGTTTGAATTCAAGAACAAAAGTGTGTCCACCATTTTCAATACTGGCGGAATCAATATCTCAGCTGTTTCCGGGAAGTGACAGGCATTCGATTAATCTTTGCCACATATCTCGGTCCAGAGTAACCATTCATCACTGATCGAAAGCTTGCTTTCAATTAAAAAAAAAAACTACAACACGTGTTATGACGGAACGTTTACTTTTCAAGCGGGCTGGTAAAAAAGTGGATATTTTTTTAACCATTATTTTGTACTGTGTAGCCATAAAACCCTGAACTTCTCGCACTTAGTTTAAAAAGTTGCATATTCTTCGTTTATTTGCTTCGTTCATTTGTTCGTCTTTTCTGTATTGATGAATTATCAGCGCAGGAGCTAACAGCTCGGTAGCTACAAGCCCCGAAAAATTGGCGCTGATAGATGACACCGCCACTGCCAATCAAGAGTGACAGCCGCCTGCGGTGACCTATGACCAGGTGACCGGTGACCGGGCAGCACAATGCCCTCGGGCGGTGCCGCCCCGACCCGACCGGTCTAATGGACGCCTGTCCGGAGCCTGCTGCCGCTCTCGGTCGACCTATTGGCCGGCATTGTCAGACGACCTGACCCGGGCGGGGCCCCCGGTAAAGCCGACACAAAGCGCCGTGACTGGTGCGTCGTGTCGCCGGCTCGTCGGCCCGGTGCGCACAGCCATTAGCGTGGGTAAACGTCGAGGTGTCACCGGTGCCGCCCCCGCCCCCGCCACCGCCCCCGCCCCGGCGGCAGGTACAGCTCTGTTGAGCCGCCGCCGCTCGGGGAAGACGGATGGCCCGGCTCACCGGGGGGCCGTCGGTGGCGCCTTGCCGTCGGAGCTAACGGGTCGGACCGATCCACGCTCGGGCGGGGCGACGACGACCGCCGCTGACTGTCCGCCCGAGGGGATCCGTGCCCAATGGTGCGCAGAGACGCACCTGCTGCACAAGAAACGACGCAGAGACGCGCCTGCTGCACAGGAAACGACGCAGGTCGCAGAGACGCGCCTGTTGCATATGAGCCGGTCTGGCGACAGTGGCCTGGTGGTGGTCCCGTGCGACACGTCAGGAAAAGCATGTGCCACAGACGCAAAGTCTGATCAATTTCACCAATCGCGTGCTTTAGCTCAATGGGGGCTGATACAGTGCTTCTAAATTGTTAGTTTTTGCTTGGCTAGGTATTCGTTGTGGCCCCTTTTTCACTGCGTCGTTACGTCAAGTTCAGACACTGCGGTACGGTCTACCTACGCAAAGTGTACGGCGGCACACTCAGCACAGTCTACCCACACAGAGATGTATGGCGGCGCAGTCTACCCACGCAGAGGTTATGGCGGCGCAGTCTATCTCTGGAAAGACTTCGCTATTGTCTCACGTAATCCAGCAACAAAAATGATAACACCGTTATTACACCATTGCACAATGGGACCGGAGCGAAAATTAGCGCGACATCGGTTTTCTTCGTGTTTCGTGCCCGCTTTCACATGAAAGGGACGATAGAATCATACAAATAGTAGTCGTTGTACTTTCTAAGCAATTTCTGATAAATTTAAATAATCAATCATTAGTAATTTAATTAATTAATTAATTGGTTAATTAATAAGTTGACCTGCGCCGACCCCGACTCGGTTCGGTCACGTGATAAGATGGCAACACCTGTCAGGTCAGGTCATGGCGGCACCGGAGATTCCGATAAGCAAATAATGTAGCCACCAAAACCATAATGGGAATCTGATGGCCTACATGACTATATAACAAATTAAGTACGGGTCAGAAAAGTGTATCAGACACTCCCAAAGCAGGTACGGATATGTCCGGACAAAACTTAAATATAGTTGGCACTTGGCATCCTTGTACAACTCCTGAGGCTCTGTTACTCACAGCTTCCGGCCGGCTCGCGGTGACCGCGCACGGCCAGCGCCGGCGACCTGAAGTAAAAAAAGCCCCTCATTTTCGCTGTGGCAAGCTGAGACAGCTGGACTATACATTTTATGAAAGGCAATTGATTGGTAAACACCATAAAGATAAAAGAAGAGCGGGACCTAGCGGGACTTTTTATATCGGCATTCCAGAATATTTATAACAGCAAAATTAACTCACAATTTGAAAAGCATCTAAGAAAACTTAACATTTGAAGCGTATTTATATATTCCGCTAAAAGTTTTTCTTTCCATCGTGAAGCCCATGGTCTAAACTAGCAGGCTAGACCCCGAAAATATTGATAAAGCCGTCTAATATATATTTTTTTCTTGCCTACATTAGATGCTACTTTTCTC